ATTTAATAATGGCAGTAAAAAATTTGAATTGTGAAGTATGCAATTTTTCGCATCATTTTAAAGAATATAATTTTACACGGCAAAATAAAAAATTGTGCAAAAGTGGTCGAGTAGTTCCTGAGAAATTCAATTTCAAACAGTCATATGTACTTAAAATTCGATTTCTCAGGAGCTATACGACCGATGAGGCTTAAATTTAGTATTTTGCTATATAAAATTACATACAAAAAATAGTGTGCCTTACTGTTCGAAAACTTTTTTGACCATTCTTAAATAAAATAATTATAAATATTCACTAAAATTTATTTTTTGCGTGATTTTGTCTTTGGATAAACAAATTTCATAGCAGTAAGCAAAGATTTTTTAATTCACTTTAAAAAGTTCATGACATATTATTAACATAATCCAAACTATAGGGAACATATTCCTCAGATTACGTCTACCGCCTATATTTTAAGGGTCCAAGTCAGTTAAAAAAAAAAAAAANAAAAAAAAAAAAAAAAAAAAAAAAAAAAAAAAAAGGTATGTTTATTGGGAGAAATTGCGTTTTTGTGTCTGATTTCGTAACTTAAAATAACGTCTGCGCTATTTAATTAGCATATTTCAGGTTATCCCTTTGAACCATTAAGATTGAGTTCAAGAACGTGAAGATCCGATTATTCGAAAAGTTTTTCTGGGTGGCTCTCCTTCCTTTTCTTTTTTTTTCCCCCTCCTTTTTTAGCGCACTTTACTTGTTATGAGATATTTGCATTACGGTTTGATTTCTTCTTTTGTTTTGATGGTTTACATTCGGCTTGTTTCTCTTCTCTTTGATTATGCTTGTATTAAGATATTTACATTCGGCTGATTTCTTCTTTTGTTTTGAAAGTATTATTTTCATTTTTAATTGCTCGCATTGTAAACGTTGTTTTTTTCTCGATGTTTATTCAGCGTTTTTTGTCAATTTGTTTCTTTTTTTTCTCTCTATATTTTATTGGACTTGTTTTCAACTGATTCCATTGTGTTACGTTTTAGTGCGTTCGCAATGGACGATTGCAGTCAATTTTTTTTATGNGACTTGTTTTCAACTGATTCCATTGTGTTGCGTTTTAGTGCGTTCGCAATTATTAGGAATCAGTTGTTTCTTGCCTTTTGTGGTTCAATTTTTTCCCAAGCCTATCTTTGTGGACGCCTACTTAACATTTATTTAACCTTTGTTGAAACATTTTTAATAATCTCGTGTATTTAAATTTTTTTATTGAATTTCTTTCTCCAAGGTCGACTAAATCAGGGATGGGCAAATTATATCCCGCCGGAAAGTTTTATGAAATCGCAATTTCATTCATCTCATTAAATATTTAAAATAAAACTTGCCCATCATTTTACTATTTTAGAACTTGTTTTTTTTCGCTCACTTTTATGTTCGATTTTTTGCCCTCGACCAAAAAAGTTAGCCCATTCCTGGAATAAATGGAACGTTCTTGATAGATAGATACTGGAAAATTGGAAACATTTATAACTGCTTCAAAGTATAGTATTAGAATTTTGAGGTTGATATCATTGAATCATTTATATATTAACAGCACCTGCGTGCACCTTATAAACTCACCAGTGTTTCCCAAACTTACGATTTTTGTGTACCCTTTCTAAATTCTTCGTAACGCTGTGTACCACCAATAAAAAAAATTTATGTATTTTTTACTTTAAAGAAATTACACAAAAGTTAAAAATCACAACTGGCTGTTGAAACCACTAATTATTAACTCTGCGAAAATTAACCAATAGAAAAATACGTAATCGTAAATTTTCATGTCTAGCTTTGTTTTTAAATAAAAGTTTTTGAAATTTTCGTTTGTTGCAAGATATTTCGCTTAAGAACGCGTACCCCCGCTAAACTGTTCCCGTACCCCGGAGGGTACGCGTACCACACTTTTATAACCGTCGTTGAACAGCCGACCCAATTTCATGGGTCCGGACCCAATTCCCAATTTCCCGGAGTTGAACGACTACTTACGTTCAACTCCGTAGCCTTGTCATTTTGAACCAATCCAGAAGACAAAGAAACTCCTGGATCAGTACCCCCAGAGGTATTGATTTGTTGTGGGAACATGGAGGACTTTGAGACCACTTTGTCACCATTTACTACACGAGGAGTCTTCGGCCGGCGAGGATCGAACCCACGACCTCTTGGATATGGGCCCAGCGCCCTACCGACCAGGCTATCCCGGCCCTGCGTACCACACTTTGGGAAACACTGAATTAAATTAAAGCGAAATTATTGGAAGAACCTGAAAAGTGACTGTTATGGTACGTAACACTTTTTTTTTCTTCGCCTAAAATGAATTCAGACCTTATTTGCATTCTGTTGATAAACTATAGCGTCTAAAAAATAGTTTTAAATGAGCAGGTACGAGTTTCATTTAAATTTTTGAATTAAAAAATAAATTTGGTGGCTCAGGGGATAGAGCGCTCACTTTCCAATGAAGTGAACCGGGTTCCAATACCAGCCATGGCTGGTCGATACAAATTTCGCATCCGGCTTGAACCGACCACAGTGATGACGTAAAATATCCTCAGTGGTAAGCGGATCATAGATTAGAGTTCCCTTGTCGTCACGGTAACCGTGAGATCTCCGTGGTTTTCCTCTCCATGTAACGCAAATGCGTGTTGGTTCCATCAAGAAATTCTACCCAAGGGCAAATTTCTCTCGATACTTGATCGAGGAGTTCCCTTGTCTTCTGGATTGGGTTCAAAATTACAGGGCTACGACGTTGAATATTGATATCGAAATCCCAAAAAATTGGGTCGGCTGTTCAACGACGGTTATAAAAAGTTATACAGCACAGGGTGATTATTTAATTTAAAAGAAGTTATCAATATAAATCGCACAGCATACAGAAGATTTTGCTTTATTGCTATTGATAACAGAGGCAACATATAATCGGCAATATATAAGGATTTTGGCATAACTCCATGGAAAAAAAAATCGGATAGATATACGAGTAGGTGGCTAAAAACAGAACATACCGTCTGCATCCCCATTTCGACTGATTCAACGGCTTTTAAGATATTGGTGTAAAGCCGTTTTGGACCTGTCAAAGAACCCATTTCCCAGGTTCGTAAGCTCTGACAGTATACTTATTAATACGAAATGCAATACGAGTTAGCGTCTGTGCTAAAATTTATCGCAACGCTCAAATACGCCATCTGGGGGGGGAAGACTGGTTCCATGACTTTAGCCCTTCCCTCTCCTCCTCTTTTCAGTTGTGTAGGAACTAGGACTGGGCTATAAATCGATATATCGCGACATATCGATTTAACGCCTGTATCGGCAGGCCGGTACAGCGACTTTCGTTCCAGGCGATGCATCAGAAATCTGATTTAAGCCGTCGAGTAAAGAAGACGAACTGTATAGCGATACAAAACACGCAAGAATCTCTTACGTTCCGATGCCAACTCGCGCTGGGGAAGACGCGATGCGAATCGTTTATTTCGTCTCTTGCTCTGTTATTTATTTTAAATTATATGTTAAAAAAAATTTTAAAAACAAAGCGGCAAAGCCGTTATGATGATCCTGAAAAAAATCATGAGTTTGCCTTAGTATATTTATGTACAGTTTCAAAAAAGTATTCCACAATAAAAAAATCGGTGACTAATTAACCTCGATTTTTATAAATTTCAATAAATATTCTCATAAAGTATATGATATAGACTTAAGAATGAGCCCATTTTCTCTTTCATAATTTCTTTTAAAGTTATTAATTAGTTTTTGAGTCTAAAAAAAAGTTAGAGTCCCATTTCCGTCACACTAGCTGCGGAATGCTTTTTGTGGTTTTCCTCTCCGTGTAACTCTAATACATGTTATTTCCATCAAAAAGTCCTCAAAGAAGGCGAATTTCTCTCAATGCCTGATCCTGGAGTATCCTTGCCTTCTGGAATGGATTTAAAATAACAATGCTACGAAGTTGAACATTGGCAGACGTAAACTCAATATTGGGTCAGCTGTTCAACGACAGTTATAAAATAAAATACAATACACCAGATACAGTAACTGGGAAATATGGGTGGTACATAGCCTGCAGCGGTTTTCAGCGTAGAATAAATCCATTCACGTGTAATTGTGTACTCAAATTACACGTAATGAGAATGGCCAATAAAAGAGCATTCTTCCTGCATGCGTAAAATTCGCATACGACTAAGGATGGTTGAATGCGTAACAAAATTCACCGTAAGATTTAATACTTGTCGTGTTTTCAATATAACACATTCTTCCAATGTAACTTTCAACGAAACAAACAAAAAATGAATTTGGAAAACTCCGTAAACTTGCTACCCTGCCCAAAATACAGCAAACGGCGCTATTTTACCCTGATATAGTCAAATAAGGGATAATACTCAAAACATGCAAACCTTACGCTTCATTTATGTTGTGTTATTGATTTTGTTAAATTTGTTTAGGCTCACGGCCTGTTAGAACTTTCAAAGTACTAAAAATTCTTATGAATGGAAAAATTATAAAACTTTCTAGAATATTAAGTCTGTTCGCACATCACCTCGTAAGCACAACATCAGCGAAGGGATGCACCGGAAACTTCCTAAATTTTTGCCAGTTTTAGGAAGCTCACCAATTAACTTCTCGATCGTAAGCGATTTTTTGTTTGAGCGAAAATAGTACCTGAGCTGAAATTAAACATACAAAAAAAATTTGTATATTTTCAGGCTCATTTTTAGTATTTTTGCTTGAAATTTTATCAGTAATGACATCTTTAAATTCTTTGGCTGCTAGCCTTTGATATTAAATTTTTCCAAAGAAAATTTCTTGGAGTAATTTTAGGGCCTATTTACACTGTATGACAGTATTTCGCGTGTGCGTATGAGAATTTGATTGGTAAACTCTATTTACTTGCTAAACCTTAGCCAATCGCGTTTTCGTTTTCAATCTTCAAACATGCACTTGAGTGAGAATGCTCCTTGCAAAGGTTTTTTTGAATGTTCCCGCGCAATGCTATTTTGAAAATTTTTTGACAAACAGAAAAGCTGTAAACCTAGAATCTGGCAAGAGTGGGTTTGGTTGATTGATGTGGTGAAGTCGTAAACTGAATTCAATTTCAAAATATACGTAATATTGATATGTGAAATCCATCAAAAAAATTTCTATTTCTCGGAAACGTGCGAAATTAGATACCATTAGAAAGCCCCTAACGAAAGTAAGTGATTTTCTTTCTTCTTTTCAAAAAAGGGGCTGCATTTTGTTGAAACTACATATTTATAAGTAGTCTTGTGCCAGTTTTATGGCTTAATCTACATCCTAAAAGTGCTATTTTGTCAATTAGGTTTTAAATTTTTTTTTCTGTGTGTGTTGTAGGAAACTCTTCGCGAAGCAATAAAATTTGCGCAAGTTATTTTCCTATTTTTGTATCCATAGAATTTTAGAGAATATGAAAATGATCCGTAACTATGTGCCACTTTTTGATAGTTTTTTGAAAGTTATTTTCTTAATTAGTTTTTTTTGGTATGATTTCCGTATCGTGACCTGTGTGTAGAACAATTGACAAGGCTTTGCAACTTCTGGACAGCCGCCCGTGAGAAGTGAAAATAAATAAAAAATCACGGAAAGGGACCAATTCTAAGGGTATAATTCGTAGCCATCCCCGGCGGTGTACATTTTTATATTTTTAAATTTGATGTGGTATTTCCACATTTTTAGGGCTCCCAAATTTCTAAACAATAAATAACATATTTATGCAGGGCTCTAATTTAAGATTAGCCGTAGGCGCTATTTTCCCTAGTTATACCTCTGGATTACGATACGATAATTTTCCTAGTACAGTCGAACTCGTTTATAACGAGCACAAAGGGACCGTAACATGTACTCGCTAAATCCGAGTGCTCGTAATAAACAGGTCCTTAAGACAGGCGTGCAACCAGAAGAGGGGGTGGGGGCTTGAGAGGTCAAATGATTGAGTTTACTCAAAATTTAATTAATACTTACTTACTTTAATTACATTAATTAATTTAATTAAATACTTCTCTTAATTTAATGACAACTAACCCCCTTCCCTCGCATTTCTTTATCATTTTGAAAAAAAGATAAGACAGAAAGACTAGAAAAAAGATTGCAAGACAGAAAAATATTGCTCTCTAAAACAGGGTCTTGCTCGTTAAAAGCGACTTCTGTTCCATAGACTTAACATTGATCCAACCAAAAATTCTCGTTTCCCTCGGTAAATCCGAGTTCTCGTTAAATCCGAGCTCGTTATAAACGAGTTTGACTGTATGACGAAATGTGATTCATAAAACGAATTTGTAGCTGCTACTTCTTTTGACTATGTTGAAATTAAAGGTTATTGTACTTTACTTCAAGTTACATATTTTATTCGCGGTTTAACTAATACAATAAAGCAACCCCTATTCTCGATTATCTGGCATATCCCTGCTTCTGTATGGTTTGCATAGTTGGGATGCTAACTAATAATAATCAGAGGTAAAGATTACGAAAATTTTGTCAGTTCATTGAATTAGTGACTAAGAGTATTACTATTCTGTATTACAGTTAATTAGTTCATTTACATGTCGCCTTGGTACCCCATTTTTAAAAATAAAAAAATATATTAAAGTAAATTTATACAAGAAATTATAATACAAGGTATATTTCCTGTCATAATTTAAGATGCAACAGATCTTACATTGGCCGAAAATGGGATATCCCGTCTGACTTTGAGGCGCCAGATGTCTGGTATCCTCCGACAGTATGTTTTTTTCTTTCTTTTAGTATTAATAGTTTTAAGTATGAGACTAAACTTGTATATTTTTTGTCCTTTTTTCTTATCTATTTCTTTTAAGTAAACTTTCTTATCTACTTCATTTAACAAGTGAACTCTTAATTTTGCGAAAAATAAAATTATTACATAAAAAAATACTGGGGAAACTTCTGTAGCATGAACTGAGGCACAATAATCGCCAGGTCTTGGCAACTTTCGAGCAGTGGCCCGCCAGAAACTTAAAAAAAAAATTGAAAGGTATAACTTGTAGCCAGGCAAAAGTTTTTTTAAAATTTTCAAGTTTAAAATCTACTTGGCTATTGTAGTTGGCGTGATGGATCACAATGCAAAATATCCCCAAAATACTTATTTGTTATTGCCATCAGAGTTAGATGAAATGAAAAACTTTTTACAGCCATTGATTAACTCTTGAAGCATTGATAAACATTTTTATCAATCATAGGGATATTTCCGTGTTGTGATCTGTCATGCCAACTACATTGGCCAAGATGCCGAATAGATTTTTTAAGTTTGCATATTTTTGTTTAAAAAAAAAACAACATATAGATGTCATTTAGCACCTTAAAAAATTACCCTCTTATACTATTTTATGTGTAGGGGGCAGGGAACTGTCCTTGCATCAGAAAGGTTCTGGGTTTGAATCCCGGGCAAGGCATGGATATTCTTTCCTTCTCTGTACTATCTGTCCTCATTGTGGGAGCGATGTTGGCCCAACTAATATGGTGCCTCTGAAAGAGAGGTCAACAAAATCGCCCTGTAAATACCTGAGTTGATGGATGTTAACACAGGTGGGCATTGGGGGGGGGGACTATTTTATGTGTATGTTTCAAAAAATTACTATCTCTCATTGCAGAATGGAATGAGAAATAATTTTTCATTTGTAAAAGTAATTTTAGGCATGCTAATAATCTCTGGGCATAAATTTTTTTTTTTTTCAAAAAGAGTGAATTAAAAGTAAATTATTAATTGCTACACAACTTGGAAAGATTTTTATATAATTAAAACTGAAAATTATAAGTAATTAAATATTTAAAATTGCATTTTTTTTATATAGAAGCATTGCATTTTAAACCATTAAAAAGTTTATTGATGCCCCCTCCCCTCAAAAAAAAAGAGGTACTTATTAAAATTTATCAAATTGAGAATAATCCTTACTCCTCGTGGCAGAATTGCAGTGACACGGCGACATTGCCGCGGAATGTTAGAGTTCTTGCAGACAGATTTTTCTTTTTGAAAAGTAACAAAAGAATTTTTTTTTCTTTTCTACACAAAATTTTCACGTAATATTTGAATCATGCATTAAGATAATTACTTTTTGATGCTCCCAATTTAAGCCGGTAGTGTCGTAAATCAATGCAATGTTTTGATTGCATTTTCCGCAGTTTTTTATATTGATTTTCACATGGATTTTAATTTTCCCGCTCTATTTCAAGCAATATGGAAAATTCGAATCATGCATTTGAGTATTTACTTTTAAAGCAATAATTCTATAAAATTTTTGGCAGTGATTGATATTGATTTCTCTATAGTTCTTAAATCCAATATTTTTTATACAATATTATTTATTATTAAGGCTGTAAACATGGATAATTTTACCAATGTTTAATTATTCTTTAAACAGTGATTTTTTTTAAAAAATATAATGTGTCTAAAGAGGTAGTATTTTTAAGCGATGTGCGGCTTATTTTTACAAAGAGTGCACATTTATAGGGATCAAAGGACAAGCAGGGCAAAGCGCCCTCCTAAAAATGTTTCAGGAGAACACTGGTTTTACTAACGATATTTCTTAATTATCTCATGTGTCCTTGTTTCTGTATGTTTTGCATAATTTGAGTTCAATTGATGATATAATTAAAGTGATTTTATCTTTTAATGTTTTTTGTTTCAGACTTGAATTATGTTTTATGCACATTTTGTCTTAGCCAAGAAGGGTCCCCTGGCTCGTATCTGGTTGGCTGCTCATTGGGATAAAAAGCTGACTAAGGCTCATGTATTTGAAACAAATATTGAAAGCAGTGTTGAACAATGTCTTCAGCCGAAGGTTGTTTTTCAATTGTATTTTTATTGCATTGTATTTCAGTTTATATATTGATCCAAATTGGCAAGGTTCAGGACAGAATGGATTAATCCACGGTTTAAACCGTCCTGTCCAAAACCCTTATATTAAAATTGTCACAATTTAAAAAAAAAAACTACACTGAAAAATAAAAGGTTAATTTTTAAACGAGAAACAAAATTAAGAAAGTTTTTGTTTTATTATAAAAGTTTATTATTTTTAATATTACATTATTTATCCTTATGCAAAAACATAATTTATCAGTATTAAAAGCATATTTATTCATATTTTAGGATAAGGTATTCAATTTTGTTGTACAATGAATTGTGGAGCTTCAGAACTTATAAATATTTTCCTATTATATTATATTATTATCCTTTAATAAGTTAAAAGCAAATTTTATAAAATATATCAAATATTTATTAATATATGTAATTATGTGTACAATTACACCTTTCAGAATTTTTACCTTTTACCAATTTTCAAGGGTTAGAACACTTTAAGACAGTTTAGGACAATTTTAGTCGGTTTAGGACAGTAAAACCCACGTGCCATGTCCAAAATCAATTTAGGACATCTAAAACCTCCACCCTGATATTGATTGTAAATTGCTGGTGCAGAGCCCGCACTAAGCATTCTCCACAATTGCCTCAAATTCCAACAAAAAAAAATTTATTGTGGAAAAATACTTATAAAAATGTTTTGCCAAGCATTTTACCGACTGAAGGTTTCTCAAATCGGCCAAATTTTCGTAACATCCCTACTTTTACAGCACTTGAAGATATTGTTTATTGATCTACAGGCATTATAGTAGGGATGTACAGTGCGTCGAAAAAAATGGATTAATCTGAATAACTTTTTATGTAATGATCGAATCTTCATCTCCAAGGACTCAATTTTAATGGTTCAAGGAGGTGACCTCAAGTATAATAGTAAGTGCAAACAATTTTTTAAGTTATAAAATCGAACACAAAAGCATACTTTCTGAATAAACATACCTTTTTTTTTCTCAACGGATTTTTTATTTCTGGCCCCCAAGGTATAAAAAGGTAGTCGCAATCTGGGAAATTAGGTGCCCATAATTTGGTGAGGGGAGCAATCCAAAATTTGGACTGCTAAATGTTAATTTTTTTTTTTTTTTTTTTTTAATTTTTTTTTGCATATCTCGAGAAAGTTTTATGAAAATTGAAAAAGTTTTGCTCACAATTATGAGATTAGTTTATCCAAAGATAATTCCATACAAAAAAAAATTTTATTAAATATTTATTATTCATTATTTTATTAAATGATAGTTGAAAAAATTATGAATTGTAAGTTGTATAAATTTTTACACCATTATAAAGTATGTGAATTAACATGGCAAAATACAAAATTGGTCGAATAGTTTCTGACATTCAATTTTAAGCATAGGACTTTTTTTAAATTTAATTTCTCAGGAACGGTTTTCACTGCAATTTTATATTTTGCCATGTAAATAATAAATCATTAACTAAAAGTTATTTTTTGCATTGAATTATCTCTGAATAAACGAATTTTATAATTGATTTTATTTTTTTATCTTCTGATATGATATTCTTTAATGACTTTTTCTGCCTCTTTTAATTGATAGTTTGTAATATCTTCTCAGACGTGGCTAACTTTTTTTTTATTATTGAGGCAGTAAAGTAGAAATAATTATTGACGAAAAGTTACTCCTCAAAGCCTAGGCTAATGTTTGGTTTTGTTGGAAGAGGAAGATGCTGCATTTAGTGTTTGATGCAGCGCTTTTACCAACGTACTTTTTTGAAAATTTATGTCATTCACAAAATCCTCCTGCTTTAAAGTTTGGCAGGTACTCATTGTTTTTAAAGATATATTAAAGAACATTTCTTTTCCAGGTGAAAATGGCTCTTCGAACATCTGGCCATCTTCTTCTCGGCATTGTCCGCATTTATTCCCGCAAAGCCAAGTATCTGCTAGCCGACTGTAACGAAGCTTTCATCAAGATTAAGATAGCTTTTCGGCCTGGTGTGGTGGATTTACCAGAAGGAAATCGAGAAGCCGCCGTAGCAGCCATTACTCTTCCAGAAGTGTTCCACGATTTTGACACAGCAATGCCCGATATTACGTGAGTTACTGCTCATTAATTCCAAGCACATAGCTGCCAACTCTACTGGATTTTGCCAATTTTTCCTGGTTTCTTTGTTTTTGCATATTTTGAAAAATTCCCAAAAGTTGAATAAGTTTCCTTAAATTCTTATTGAAATAGAATTTTTTTTTTCGTGCTTGAATATTTAAATAAGTGTCACTAATACATTATGAAGCGAGCATAATTTAAAAAATTCAGTTCTATCTTTCATAAATTAAATGCCTATTGTTATTCAAAATTATAAATAAACGTAATACATAACATTTCAAATGGAAAATATTAGTTTTTTATTTTGATGACCATAAAAATTCCCTATGCATAAAATATTTAGTATATTTTGCGACAATTATGCTCCAGAAAATGATTGTACATAGATGATTGTGCTCCAGAAAAAAATCTGGTAACCAGAATTTTCAAGAAATCATCAATCACATTTATGTATAAAAATTCTTGTATATATTATTTAAAAATATTAGAACTAGAATTTATACTTGGCATCTCTTTCGTTTGTAAATATTTTTCTGGTAAAATAATAAATATGATTAAGAGAAAAATGTAAACTTTTAATAATTATTCATTTAAATTATGCTGCATATAATTTTTTTAGTATTTCATGTTTTAAAAATATCAATGACTAAAATTATGAATAAACATAATACTTATCATTTAATGTCATCATAACTAAAAAATATTGCAGTTTTTTTTTCTTTCTATGACTTAAAAATTCCCAATGTGTAAAATATTTAGTGTATTTTGCAACAATTATCATGAAATTTATATTATTAAAATCCATGTTGGCAGCTATACAAACAGTTGAAATCTGCTTAGCAGAAAACTTAAATTTATCTGCACAATAATCAAAAATTTCTATTTATTAATGTTCTGACCCTTGGCCGACTCATGGTGCCATTGTCGCATAATGTTACAGGGTAAAGATTTTCCTATTTGCTTTCTTTGCTGTATAAATTTTTAAATTATTATTGTTATTTATTTATTTATTTATTTTTTTTTGCAGAATTATATTCAATGCTGAGTTTAGAAATGCTCGTGGCTTTTCTATTCTCATTTAAGAATTTAAAAAAAAAAAAAAAATATTTATTATGACCGACTTCCACTAGTATTTCAATTTAATAATATAAAGGGGAAAAAATTCAGAGTCATAAAAGTTTAAAAGATAGTTTGATAAATCATCTTTGTTCTTCCTTTTTTTAAAAAAAAAATTTATTTTACATTTTAACAAAATATGACTGAGTAGGGATTTGGTGGCAATTCAGATTTGTAGTAGACTAATTAATCAATGCAGCACATTTGTCCCTCTTTTTTTATTTTTTCTTATTACTGTTTTTTAATTTGGTTGAAGTAAAATCGATCCAATATTTTTTAATACACTATTCTTAATCTTAATCCATCTTAAATATGTTTAGTGTTTTAAAAATAACTTTGTGAATTAATTTACATTGTAATTTAACATGGTTATAGTAAAAAATAAAATAAAAGAATTTTTTTATACCTTTTTTTCCCCCAGTTATTTTTATAGTATCATGGAACTTGCGTTTGTTCATTTTGTGCAAATTTTGTCTTCCCTAGAGGCTAAATAAAATTATTTATTTTTTTTCAGGGAAGACTATTTTATCTTGAAAATTAAAAACTTCTGAAATATTGTTCAATAAATACATGTAAATTTTATAATAAAATCTGAATTACTTTATTGTATTTAGGATTGACATGGATGCTCAAGTCACTTTAAATCAGAGCAGAGCTGAGGACATTACACTGAAAGAAGATTATGGAAACTTAAGCCTCATAGCGGATGATGGTTTTGGTAATTTATATTTATTTTTTTAAAAAAAACCTTTAAAGCTAGCACAGCTGCCAACTCCACTGAATTTTGCTAGTTTCTCTTAGTCTTAGCTTTAATAAAAATTCTCCTGGTTTTTGTGCATTTTAGAAAATTCCCTAAAGTTTCATTAAAAAAAATCTCCATTCAAATAGTTTTTGCATGGATTATTGTTTTAATATTTAAATAAGTATTACTAATATATAATGAAGCATGCTTCATTTATAGAAATCACTTTAAAACTTATTTTTTCTTCTAAAATATGTAGTTTATTTTTATTCAGAACTCCCTTTTTAAATTAATTAAAAATCTTTTAACTATCTCACATTTCAAGCGTATTTAATGCCAATCATGACTGGAAAATAATGCAGTTTTTCTTTTCTGATGACTATAAAAATCCCTATCTGTAAAATATTGAGCACATTATGCCACAATTATCATGGAAATTTATATTTCCCAAAATCTGCTGGATTTTTAGTTATCAATGTTGGCAGCTATGAGCGAGAAAGTAATCTGATTTAAATTGTTTTTTTTTTTTATTATTAAATTTTAGATGATTTGGGCTTCGATGAGCCTGAGGGAGAGAGGCACGTGGGTTGCATCGAAGATTTCGACAGTCAGAATCTTTTGCTGGAAGGAGAGGCTGCGACTGCAGAAATCAGGAACCAGGATGAGGGTGCTGTCCAGGGAGGTAATAGCAGCATAATAGCAAAGCCATCTTTAGAGGCACCCTTGAAAGATGATGGCTTTGGTGGTACCATTGGTGAAGGATTGTTAGGTATTTAGACGTGTTTTTTACACTAGTTGTCATAGTTTAGTTGTACAAAAATATAGTAAAATTGGAAAATGTTTGTACAAAAATTTTTTTATTTTTTTTATTTTTTTTTTTTTTGAAAAACCTCAGAAGCATTGTTCTGCAAAATGAAAAACAGAAACTCTTTTTATTTAAAAAAAAAAAAAAACTAAATTATAAGATAAAAATGTACTTGAAGTTATTTTTTNTTTTTTTTTTTTTTTTTTTTTTGAAAAACCTCAGAAGCATTGTTCTGCAAAATGAAAAACAGAAACTCTTTTATTAAAAAAAAAAAAAAACCTAAATTATAAGATAAAAATGTACTTGAAGTTATTTTTTTTAACTGTATGGCTTAGGTCTAAATTTTTATTCAAATAATCTTTTACTATTTTAAAAACTAGAAATGTATTTAGCGGCACAAAAAACTTTTCAGGTACATTGTTCGAACATGTACATAATTTAGATGAGTTTGTAACTTCTACTGTTAAGTCATTTGCATAACTGCCAAGTTTCCTGTTTTTTAACAAAGACTCCTGTATTTTACGACTATCTCCTGTTTACCCATATATTCTCAAATTCCTAAATATCTGTTGAAAAAAATTTTAAAAACATTTTTTGTTTGGTTGATAATATATCCCTTGATGGTAAAAATACTTCTTATACTTCAACAGATGGTGCTATTGTCTGTATTGCAGCTTGTTGAGTGTTTATAGTTTAATTAATTATAAATAATGGTTTAAAAACCTCTTCTTTAGATTAAGATTTATATACATATTTTTTACTTCGCTAAATGTAAGTGCTTATGTTATTCCCAATTTTGAGTTTCTCTTTTTGACTTACATGCATGATGTATCAAAACTTTACTCGTAGCTTAAAAAAAGTTGCTAAAATCTCTGTTTTATTTCTCCAATGTTGGCAGGCATGGATTTGCACTGAAGAACATTACGGAATTCATATTTGTCTGATAAATAAGTCTTATGAAATTCCTTGTTTATTTTAATTTATTTTGCTTGCTAGTGAGCTTTTGAAATATTACACATCTCCTCCAAACAAAGAATACAAATACATCAAAACAGTTAACTTTGGTTAATGTCAAAATTCGCAATATAGATAAACTGGATTTTAATTATTGCATAGTGATTTGCTCCAGTCTCTTAGAATTCACTCGGGGTTCTGTCTAAGTTTTTTTAAGAGGTACCAATTTTGTGAAAATTAAAAATTTATGTTAACAAATCAACACAAAAATATGGTAAAATAAGAAAATATTTTTATTATGGACAAGTCATAATGTATATAGAAATTTACAAGTCATAATTTCCAATATGACTTGTAAATTTCTATATACATTTTTCCCATATGTTCAAAAACAATTTTGCTAATTTTGGGCATAAAATTGTATCCAAATTTAAAAATCATTGTCCACAATTAAATTTCAACTTTAATTTATTAGAAACATACATTTAACAATAATAGCACTGAAAGTTATCTTCATTATGAGAACATTTTCGACTGGGTCATATAGAAAAAAGTTTCAGAAATGTTTCATAAAAGAAAATAAAGGTCTATTAGTATAAATTTAGGATAATGTTTAAAATTTTCGGCTTCCCGGCATGAGGATAAAAAGTGCGCTTCTTACAAACCATGTAGGAAGCGAATTCTTCTACTATATCATAATAGCAAACCACGGGTGGGTTCCATTGCAAATTGAAAGACGTAATTAACTCCAGGTTTGTTTGTTTTTTCGAGGATACAACAGCAAAATTTTTAAAGATGGGGGGGGGGATTTTAGAGCTTGCTTTTTTAATAGTATTTTGTGAAGGTACCGTTAAACAGTAGTAAATTTCTCAAAAAACTGGATTATCATTTTTTTATTATATCTGTCAAATTAATACTTCTTTCTCGAATAGATGGTGAGACTGGTAATTTATTTGAACCTGCGGGGCTTTTTGATGATCCCGTATCCATTGCTCCAGAACCTGAACCTGTAGCCGAACCAACAAACAAAGAATCTCTTCCTCTTGATAAACCTATTGAAGAGCAACAGGATGACGAAAGTGATGATGATATGTATGGTAAGTCCTTTAATGTGTTCAGTGATTGGTTGCAAATGAAATGAGTCAGGGCAACATTTTGGTGTTCCCTGTTTTTTCCATTAACTAATTTTTCTTATTTTTTAAAGCCCTATTTATAACAGATTTATAATTTTGTTATATTTGTTCTGTAACTGAATGGGAAAGGAATAATTTTGAAGGACCCTAATACGTACAGCATAGTATTAAATTATGTTTTACTAATATTTGAACGCTTAAATTATATTGATAAGAAATGTGTAATATAAAATTAAATTGACGTAGAAGGGATTTGAAAGTTTTAGAACTTCTAGTATTAAGTTATGTTTTATTAATATTTAAATGCTTAAATTTTATTGATAAGAAAAGAGTTGTATAAAATTAAATTGACATAGAAAGGATTTAAAAGCTTTAGAATTTCTAGCTTGATTCTTCCTATTAGTTTATCTTCATTAAGCTTAAAATTAATATCAAATTTTTAAAATATTATACCATTTCTTGCTTAATTTTTTTCTAAAATATAATTATATTTGCAAGTTTAAGCTTACTGTTTCTATTCTTAAGCCACCACCAACAATCAATGAATTAAAGGCGCTGTTTTCAGTTTCGCCTAGGGCGCGAAAACGTCTTCCGTCGGCATGGTTGGTGTGTGATTTAATGCACTCATTTAGGTATATTGTAAAATTGCAGCTATTTTAAATTCTAAAGAAATTCATTAAAAAAATTTTTTTCAATTGCTGGTTTTCATTTTCAGTTGTTTAAAAATACTATATCAACTATCTTAAAAATTAATACTATTATAAGAACTAAATTCAACAATAAACCGTTTAATATTTCTTTTTGAAAAAGAGTTTCTTTTACTTGTGTTGAAAAAACCCTTATTTTTTTCGGGTAGTTTTTTCCATTGTTAAAGAAACTTGCCATTCCTGCTAAGGATGATACATACTTCTGAAAGTACATCAAGCATGAATTTTTTTAATTTCAGATATGGCACCAGGGTCTATCGGTGCCCCCTCTCCTCCTTCCTCTCCAGAATCTCCTGGACCGTCGCAGGCTCAGGCTCCCGCTGAAGAATTCTTGCATAACGATGGACCTTCCTCTGAAGCGTGCAATGAATTGAGAATGGCTGAACCTGAGCCCATGATCCCAGCTCAGTCTCCAGCTCGCAGCTTCACTGAAAATAGTACTCCAGAGATGCCTCCTCCTGTTCCTCCCCCTCCACCATTGGACCACACCACTTTGATCACCAATGATGCCGAAAGTTTTGCCTTAGCTCCTCTTGATACGACTATTGTTCATGGTAATTAACTAACATTGATAATTTTTAATATTGTATCCTTTATGTAGAGTTGTTATCCTTAGACTTCTGTCACACCCATTTATAGGAAGACCCATTCATTCATCCACAGATGGTAATTTTGACTTAAACCGGAGAAGAATCGGCATATGGTTAAAATTTTAAAAAAATTTACTATTTGCACACGCAATCCAAAGTTATCTGCTTGCAAATTAGTATCCTTTCATAACAGAATGATTTTATTCTAAAAGCTGCAAATTTTTTGATATTGGCTCAATTTCACTCAAGGAGCTACAATGGTCATTTTACTATTGAAAGACAGCAATGGATGTTTGCTCTTTTAACCAGGGCTCAAAATTTTTGTGATTTTCCAAATTTTTGTTGAAGTTAACAGGAAGTAAAAATTTTAAATTTCAAATTCAAAAATTAAGTCTTCATAGCGCTTCCGATATTAATCTACTTCCAGTGTTGGAGACAATTACCCTTAATTGGATGGCATAAAAGCACTTGATGTAGGAGAAATATATAAAATGCTCTTATCTCTCTACTCCCACCTTATCATTGTATCATAAGAAATACTTGGTTACGACTTCGATTTTCTGTATTTAGACAATTTTCTCCCCTTTTTGTGAGAAAAGAAAACCAAAACAGAAATTTTTGATAATTTTTTTTAAAAAATCTTTAATTTTCTTTTCACTTAAGTGCAGGGACTACTATAACTATTACCAATTTTATATCTGTGAATCCATGTTGGTATTTTACAGATTGTTCCCTTTAAAGAAGCATCCTTAAATAATCATTAAGTTTGAAGGCAATTTTATCCTTAGTTTTTATATTTTCCAGCCCTGCTTTCAACTCTGTTATTGGTTTTTGCATGTTTTTTTTTTTTTTTAATTGTATTTTAGTGTAAATGTTTAAGCAAATTTATTAACATTTTATAATCTCCACAAGTATATCCGAACATGGGGTGCATCTGTGTTATTTAACCGTCATCATTATAGTATTTTATTTTATTCATATCTTTGGTTTAACACATTGCTCCGTTATGTACATTGAGCAATGTACACATTTCACATTGTTAAATTCTCTTCTACAAGTATATCGGAACATGGTGTAGATCTATATTATCTAACTGTGATCATTATAGTTTTTTTTTTATTATTTGTGTCTTTGTATTTAACATATTGTTTCATGATGTTTTAAAGGAGTTGAGAGAACAGTGAAAACCAAAAGAAAAAGAAAACTTATAGTGGATGAAGTGAAGAGCATATCGGGTGAAGAAATGAAGACTCAACTGTCCGATACCACCGACATCGTTGCCACCCTCGACCTGGCCCCTCCCACTAAAAGGTTGATGCATTGGAAAGAAACGGGGGGTGTGGAGAAGCTTTTCGCTCTTCCTGGACATCAAATCCTTTCAAAAACTTTGTCAAGGGTAATGAAAAATTCTATACACTTTGCCACCTAAACAATTTTTTTAAGGATAATAAAAATTCAATAAATTTGAAAAATGTAGTTTTTAAAATTTTCATCGTATAGGAGCATCCTGTCTGCAAAACAAATGTAAGTCTTAATTTTTAAAAATTTTGATTATATTGCAACTTTTAGTTTTCATTTTAAGACAAAAAATTTTACAGGGTATCTGCACACCTGGAAAATCATAAATTTCAGTATTGAACAGAATTTGTCGTGAAATGTCATGATTTTAATTTTATTATTTTTTTTAAAAAATCTTGGAAAGTCATGGATTTAGGTCATCAAAAAATCTAATTTCCCCCCAATTTCATGGTGTTCCGAATATCTTTATTTATAACAAATTCCCCTCTCACAGTCATATTTTATTAAAATATAAAGTGTTTTTATCGTGTTCTTTAAAAGTTGTGTTCTTTCAGGAAATAAACGAAAAAACGTCATTTCTATAGCGAATTATCTCTTAGACTTCTGTGGTTTCAGAATTTTTATTAATATTTTTTTCTTTAATCAATTTGAAATTTTAGCTGAAGCAAGCCAGTCATTGGTGAATTTTTTTTTATTCTGAAAGGAGAACAAAAAGTCCTTACATTTTGTACTTTTTCCCTTACCGAACAAGAAAAGTATCTAGAATATAATTCTGCAGGAAAAAAATTACTTGCTTTTGTATGTTTTTCAGCTTAAATCTATAAATGTGAAGATGCAGAGTATAATAGTTTTGGTTATACCTATCATATCAATGTTGTAATAATGCTTCTTTAAATTTATTGTTGTGTTCTTGTCACAGTAAATATTAACTTCGTTAAGTTCGTGAAAAATTCTTGGAATAAGTCGTGAATTTGAAAATCTGAAATGTTGCAGATACCTTGCTTTTAGTTTTCATTTAGTCTTAATTCCTATTAAATATAAGCAGTGATGTTGTATTGCATTTCATATATATGTAAAACTATAATCTATATACTATTTCATAAATATAAAACTAAATTAAAACGATTTGTTATCTTGATGAAGGACTGTCTTCAAATATGTACAAATTATTAAGGTACCTTTTTTTTTTATTATACTTGTTTTAGGACTACCAGTAATTTTATTTTGATGGGAAAATAATTGATTGATTATGAAATTTGGTTTAAAAATAATATTAAACAAATATTAAAAAAATAAAAACAAATAATCCAACTTTGATGACTGCAGTTCAAAATGAAACATCTTTCATCAAAATGAGTTGTAAAATTTTTTAGTGGTGATATAATAGTGGTGCTAGACAGAAAGCAAGATGCTGTGCTTTTTTCTGTTCTTGTTAGAACAACGCTGATTGCTGCTTTATCCTTGGGGTAATTGTGCTCCGGATTGTGCCCAAGAAGAACTAGAATTTATACTTGGCATCTTTCATTTGTAAATATTTTTTCTGGTAGATAAATTAGAGATAATAATTATTCATTTAAGTTATGCTGTATATAATTTATTTAGAATTCAATGTTTTGAAAATATCAATGATTTAAATTTATAAAGACATTATGCGTCTTTAATGATTTTACTCAAGAAATTTTCTGGATTTTTGAGTTGAACTCAAGATTAGCCCTGTTTATTAGAAAGTTATAAAATATTTCTTTTTTTTTATCTCTGTCTCAATGCTGTCGTTTTTGATGATAAAAAGTATATATACCCCTGTGAAATTTAGATATTCCATCAACTAAAGCTGTATAAAAGTGTCCATTCTTGGTGTGACACAAAATTTTATTCTACCTTATTCAATAGTATGTTCTGACAAAGTTATTTTGTATCTCTGTAAATGTTTTGAAAGTTGATCGTTAATTTTTCCCTTCACCTTACATTAGTGATTTAATTTAATGAATTTTATCTTTAAAGGGGTATGCAAGGCATTTGACAACTAGGTCTGTGGACAATGAAGACTTCTGTGAAGAGGAGACTGGAGCTGCTGAAATCTGTCGATTGGAAGAAGGTATTTTGATATTTCTTAGCTTTTCTTAGTTTGCAGAATAAAAAAAGATTATATATTGATGTAGAATTTTGCTATTTGTGTTCCAATTAATTAATAATATCTTTGAAGATTTTAGTGTCCCAATATAACGCAGTGCCTAGTACCCATATTAATTTCCTGTGTGTACCGTATTAACTAAGTTCAATTTGACTTCCCTGTTCCTNATATTTCTTAGCTTTTCTTAGTTTGCAGAATAAAAAAAGATTATATATTGATGTAGAATTTTGCTATTTGTGTTCCAATTAATTAATAATATCTTTGAAGAGTTTAGTGTCCCAATATAACGCAGTGCCTAGTACCCATATTAATTTCCTGTGTGTACTGTATTAACTAAGTTCAATTTGACTTCCCTCACAATTAAATTAATTGTAAATATAAAAACAATTAATTATTGATTTTTGCCTCTATTTTATATACATGGAGGAGTTTTTTAGGTGGAATTTTTCTTTTTTGTTCAATTTAATAAAATAAATTATAAATTTTGCTTTTCCTGTAAAATTCCTGTTTATACCCCCCGACCGCCAAACAAAGGACTCCTATTTCTTCTATGTAAACCTGATTTCAAATTACTCATCGTGATACATATTCGCATGAATTAAAAATCTTACATCAAAATTCCTATTCACACAATTTTTTTAATAAAATTGCACATCCTTCACACTTTGCGATTTGAATCCACTCAGTTTAAAAATTACATGTCACCCGTTCATATTCCCGTTATTTAAAAACCTCACATCGGCATTCCTATTAACGAAATTTATAAATTACACATTGAAGTTTATGTATATACAGGGAATTTTATTTCTCATTTTTGACTTTTAAAAATGGTGACCAAAACGCAATCTATGGGTCATTAAATGATGATATTCCAGCTATACTACACTATTTCATTACCTCTAGCATTATTTGTTTTAAGCATGTTCAGCTGTACATTTTTTCTGTTAAGTTTTTCCAGCAATTAAAACTAATATAGCTAGACTTATAGGTCTCTCAAGAGCACAATGATTGTGTGTTTCCTTTTAATATATTGCTTACAATATGTACAGAGAAAATACGGGGAATTATTATTTATTTTTTCCCCCTCCAGATTTGAGTGACAACACTGTCAGGTCTTATTCTACTATAGTGTAAAATGTAATTATTCTTTCAATGTAACCCATTTTGGCAAACGGTTTAATAAATGATGTGACTTATATTTTTAGCTAATTTTATTTTTCTGCTGTTGTCAAGGGTTCTGAACACATCCAATATATATAAGTAATTCAATTGGATAAACATTTTCTGTTGAGAAATTTTTTAAACTATTCAATTTTTTTAACTTAAAACGGTTATTGACAAGCAAAATTTTTTGAAAATGTGTAATTATTCCTTTTGTGATTTATCATATGTTCTTATGATGGATTTAAGTTTCAAGTTAGTAGATTAAAGAAATAATAAAACAAATTTCATGAAAAAAAAACAAGCATTCAACTAAATGGTTTGTTCATTAATTTGGGAAATAGTGCGTATACGCAGCATTTTATTTCTTACATAAAATATACTTTTTCATACACAGAATTTTTAGTGTCTTAATGCAAGCGTATTTAAATGAACATATAGCCACGTTTTATAAAATCTCTATGCTAGACCTAAAATGGGTTAAAGAACTTAAATTTTTTTGCTTGGCTTAGCAACCATTGAACATTGAATAAAATTGTATTTTTCTTTTTTTAATGTGCTTGACCAGCAACATCATCCAAGCGAAGAAGAATATCTGAGGACCCTATACCTGCGGACTCATATCACCTGGAAACTTCACGTCAGTCTGCACTCTCGCATCCTCCCATTGATGCGCCAAACTATTTTGATGCCTTCTCCCCCAATGTTGACCACCAACAGCAGCAAATGATGGCCTCTCAGGATCACATGATGCAACAAATACTCCATAATGAATCACCCTATATTCCCCATATCATGGACTCAATGGTGAGTTTATTCATGTGTGCCAAACAGAATAATGACTCTCTGCAAAACGGGGCATTCTCTAAGAAGTTCACAATCTTCTCTCAAAATTTTTAGAGTAATAGCAACAAAAAAAATAAATAAAACTGAGTGTGTTGATTATATTTATTAGGAACATTTAAACATTTTCCCCCCTAACTAATCATTATACAACAGTGTTCTAATTTATTTTCTTGTCATCCTTGCTATTTTAATTGATAATTTGGTATTTTTCAATCTTCTATTATTTTATTTTTTAAAAGAAATCAATTCTCGTCTATATAGAACTTTTGATAAAATTAATACTGAATTTCTGAAACACAAATTCTTTATTATGTTCATTTATTCTTCATTTTATCTGTGCAAAAAAGTAAAGAAATGAGTTAATTTTCTGCATAATCCTGATGAATATGTTATATGTAAATTGTAGATATAAAATCGCAATAATTTACATTACAAATTCTGAAAAATGTTAAGAAGTTTCGTTCTGGAAATCTCAGATAATTAGGTTTTATCTGGAGAGTGGTAACTTTAAATAATGTTTTCTTTTAATTTTGTTCGTTATGTGTGTTTTCAAAGTAGAAAGCCTTTACAGGGGAATAGTGTTTAAAGAACACTTTGAAAACATGTGGCAGCAGGTACTGAGCAATTTTAGTTCTGTTCCTCACTACCTTCGCAAAAATTATGGACACCAAAGCGGCATCTTCATAATTCTAGAAAAATTTGCTCGTTTTTAAGTGAAGGTGTTTAACTTCCATTACATATTTGTTAGAATTTTTAGTATTTTTTATCCTTAGCGAGGTAAAGTGCAGTTTTAAAATTTTTTTTCTTGAAGATTTTAAAAGTTAAATTTCAAAATATTTCTCATCTCAGGTAATTAATAGAAGGCTTGAAAGCAAATATATTTTAGCAACTACTGAAAATCAAGGAAATGTTGTAAACTTAGGCAGGGAAAATTTTTTTATAATTTATGTAGCTACACTCCCAAAAATGTTATTTTGCTATAAAGTAGTCATATTATAGTCTTTTTTTTTATTTCCTTTCTTTTTGTAGTTCGTGAAATGTTTTGATTATTTAAATATTCGAGTATTTTAAAAAAAAGGTTTTAATTTCAGATGTCTAAGTTATTAAAGTATAATGCCTTTTTAAAGAATATTTTCCGAATTCCCAAATGAAACAATTGTTCCTTTTAATTTAAATATTTTTGTGAGCTTTTATTTTAATTGTTTACTTGTAGAATACAAATAAATCAAAGCTGTAATTAAGGGCAATATCTATTATTTTAAATGCGAAAAATTCCGAGGTAACAAAATAATTTCAGTTAATGTTGAAATTCTCCATATCCGTATAACGAATTTTTGTTATTGCGTAGCGATTGCTTCAGTCCCTAGAAATTTTCTAAAATGGGATGTATTACAGTGATTAATAAATAGTTTCTTGAATGATAAATTTTAATAATAAAGAATTTTTTATTTCAGTTTCAAACCTATCGGCATGAAAAAATAATTAATAAATTTTGTATTGCATGTTTTCTGTATTTCAGGGACAAGGTATTTCTTTAGGAGCGGTATTACCAGATGAAGTTCCTTTACCGGCTGCTATGCAACAGTCCCATTCTTTGTTAGAATCTTTCCAGGAACCTGAGAACAGGTATCAGTCTCTTTATTTCTAAACTTACCATTGTGTCTACCATTCATTGTAATAAAGAAAAAGAAAATGAAGGAAATAAAAACGAAAATATGACCACCGAAGCCGACGTCTTCAGGGGGTACCGGCCCCGGTAGCCATAAAAACAAAACCATTTTTAATTTAGGGAGAAGCAAATGCTTAAATTAACTCCCTCAGTACCCCGATGGTTTTGTATAGAAGTCCAGGAAAAAAACATGCAATATAAATAACAAATTAAGAAAAGAAACTCAAACAAAATCATCAGAAAAATAAAAACTCACATAGTCACAGGTCAGACATCAATTTCTCAAGCAAGCCGAATNAAAACAAAACCATTTTTAATTGAGGGAGAAGCAAATGCTTAAATTAACTCCCTCAGTACCCCGATGGTTTTGTATAGAAGTCCAGGAAAAAGACATGCAATATAAATAACAAATTATGAAAAGAAACTCAAACAAAATCATCGGAAAAATAAAAGCTCACATAGTCGCAGGTCAAACATCAATTTCACAAGTGACTATGTGAGTTTTTATTTTTCTGATGATTTTGTCAACACATAATATTTGAATCATGCATTTAGGTAATCATTTTTTGACGTGTTAAATTTAGGCCAATAGTATCGAACATCACTGTAATGTTTCAATTGCATTTTCGGCAGTTATTGATATTGATTTTCACTTGGTTTTTAAAAATCTCGATATATTTCAAACGATATGGGAGATTTGAATTGTGCACTTTGAGTATTTAATTTTTTGAGTCAATAATTCTATCGAATTTTATATATTTTAAATCCAATATTTTTTTATATGATATTATGTATTACAACAACCTAATCTAAATGAAACACACATTTGAGGTGTCTGATTTGCGTGATTTCTCGCCTATCTTTTTTTCGGCAATTACTACTACAAATTTCATGATATTTTAATTGTGATGATTATTTACGAAATGCAAAGAAGAAAATAATTTGTGCGATGAAAATAATTTATGAATCTTGAACTTATTTATTTCTATTTCATTTTCTTTTTATTTTATTCATATTTGTGAAATGAAAAAAATATTTTTCTGCTTTTGAAGTAGTAGTTGAATTAGTTAATGATCTAACCCAGGGATGGGCCCCCCAAACTTTTCTTTTCCGATTTTTGGCCCTTGACCAAAAAAGTTTGCCCATCCCTGATCTAATCTATTACAGGGTGTGTATTGTTTTTAAAAAATGCTTGAAGGTGCTTATTTTTGATTTGCATTTTTTAAAAGCCCTTAAAGGTGCTATTTTTTTATTCGGGGTTTATAAAAAAGTGTTTCATTTTCTATCTTTTAAAAAGATATTTTTTCTTTGCCTTGTCGATTGTCTTTCTAAATCACAAATAATTCATGATTTTTATAATTTTCTCTGCAATATTTATCAAAAACTAGTTATTTTATCATAATTATGGGAAATTTTTCAGTTTTATTAATTGTATCTTTATAAATTAAAAACTTTAAATGATAAAAAAAAAAATTTATTACTGCACAAGTCCTAATTATAATTATTATTTTGGATAGTGATTAAAAATATTTTTCTAGTGCTTATTTTTTGTTGAAAAATCTGGTTACGCATCCTGTATTACTTGTCTAACTAAGTTTTAATTTGTTGTATTTGTGACATTTTTTTCTTTTTGTTTAATTGTTTTACTTTAATAATTATCCAATACTCCACTACATGGGTGAAAATAGCATCTTAATTATTTCTTAGAGGAGACTGAAGGCTACTATTTTTTATATGTAAGCTACTATTTTCTAGAAAAACTGTGATGGTAATCTTACCTTTTCATTTTTCTTTTTTTTTCAGAACATAAATTTGTAAGCAAGTTTTAGAACTCAACAAATATGTGTAAAAACTTTTTCTAATATTGTGTAGTAAAAAAATTTGATTTTACATTATTCTGTATTAAATCTTAATCTATTCAAATTCGATACAGAATAAAAATAAAACTTGTTTGAGATACTTCTCCAAAAATGACAATTTGGTTAAAAAAAAATAGGTTGACCAAATATTTACCAAAATATCCAATAGTGGCCAAATATTTGATATATTCCCATTAAAGGTCCGTTCAGGGCAAACTTACTACCGTTTAGCGGTACCGTCACAAATTCAACTTTAGGAAAAATGGTAGTTTCACAAAATGCCTGTTAAAAAGTTCTAAGATCCCCATTTCGTAAAATTTTGTTTTTGTATCCCCATAAGAAACCAGAGTCAATTAAGCAGATACAAATAGATTGCATGTGATTGGTCAGATAGTGCGGTATGGCAGCCTAATTGGTCACTTACATCATATTATAACAAGCTTTTTTTTTTTATTAAACGACTACACACTCCCTTGGTAAACTTTACAGTTGGTTGAAATTTGAACATTGTTCTAAATTTATTCTAACATACCTTTATTTTTTTATGAAACTTTTTTTCTATATGACCCCGTGGGAAATGATCTCATAATGAAAATAACTTTTAGTGCAAGTACTGTTAAATGCATGTTGTTGTTTTTTTCTTTAAATTTCGATACAATTTTAAGCCCAAAATTTTACAATAGCAAAATTATCTTTGAAAAATGGGGACAAATATATAAACATTTACCACTCATAATTGATTTTTATTTGTAAGGGCAAGTTTTGAAAATATCTTCTTACTTTACCATATTTTGGGGTTGATTTTTTAATATAATTTTTAATTTTCACAAATTATGTCTAAATTTTAACATAATAGGTACCTCGCATAAAAACCTAGGCAGACCCCTGCCTATTTATGATGTCTAAAAAATATGGTATTTTAACTCTGAAAATAAATTCTTATAGATGTTTGGAAGATATTCCACCTCCACCATACAACAATGTGGAGAAAATCCATAACCCAATACCAGAAGATGAAACCACTCAAATTTGTCCAGAAAACCAATATCCTCAAGCTTCCTTAGAAGTTCCCTCTCCACTTCCGCCACAGGTCATGGCTCAACCGGAAGCTTCCCTCCATCCTCTTCAACCTCCACTACAGCAACCTACATTTGAACCTCCTCCTCCTGCTGCTGCAGCCATTCTTGAACCTCAAGAAAATCAAGTTGCTCCCACCAACACCCATACTTCGGAAACCAACGATTTGTTTGATTCCTTGATAGGTGATCTGCAGCAACAACAGCAGCAGCAACTGCAACAACCACAACAACAACCAGAGTCCCAAACCCAGAATCACCTTTCTGAAGATGATATGGACTATGGAGACGAGGATTATGGTGCTCCTGCTAGTGTTGGACCCGTAAGTATTTTCTCCCCACTTTTCACACTCTTGTCAAATTGAGAGTTGGATCAAAAAAAAGAGTGTCGTTATCTTAAAAAAGCTAATGTTTGCCACTTCCAAACTTCAGAGTCTGATAACTATGGGTGATAAAAATGATTTGAACACAGAAGTTAAAAAACTGTTCTTAAATGTAAAATCTCACCACTGTTAATATGTTCAAAGAATGTGTAATCAAATTATCTTCCCTTAACTTTGGGCTGTTTTTCAATGTGAAAAAGTAAAAACAGTTTTGTCAAAATAAAAATTAATATATCTTATTTTTTTATCTCCGTTTTGAATATGAATCCTGTATAATACATCTATACAAGTTTTATTAAGCAATGGAAAGTAGATATATGAGTGTATATAATGAAGCAATGAGTAGTATAACATAAACAAATTTTACTTTGAAAGCCTGGAGAGAAATTTCTTTTGCAAGATATGCATTTCTTGAAAATTTAGTATTTGCATTTTTAGTTTATTTAGTATTTCAAAAGTAAAAGTAAGATATGTCTTTTAGCTTTTTTTTTTTTTTTTTTTNTTTTTTTTTTTTGTAACTAATAAATTGTTCTAAGAGTAAATCTTTATTTAAAGTTTTTTCTTCCTAAATAAGGCAATTTTTAAAATTTTAGACTCCTTGTATTTTTTCTTTTGATCTCTGTATAAACCAGGGTTTTTAGGGGGGGAAATCTAGCCCTTGTGGGGTTTTTTAATAAATAAAAATTTTTTGACTAGAGAAAATCTATTTTTTAATGAGAATACACAGTTTTTGCCTGGATTAATGTTGGATTTTTAGAAACTAAATATATTATGTTGAATCTCTTATACTGTTTTTGCAATTTTTTAATTTTGTGACTATATATGATTGTGAACAACTTTCAACAATCGAAAGAAAAAACTTTATTGTAAATGTTCCTGAAGATATTCAAGTGCTTAAAAAAGGTGTGTATTTTTTGTTAGAAAATTTTGCTGAAAAATACTTTGGATAAATTTTTTTTTTTTACATTGTAAGAAATAATAACTAATAGTTTAATTAAAAACTGGAATAGCTTCTTTAATCAAAGTTGTTTAACACGTTGTGAGTAGCGCTTTTAAAAAGTGCTTAGAGGTCTTATTTCCGATTTTTCGTTCTTTAAAAGTGCTATTTTCATTGGGTGTTTTCAGACTTAATTTTTCACCCTCTGATATCGAACCGAAAAATCTCTCGATCATTTTATAACGGCTAATATAATCAAGAAAAGAGTTCTTTGTCAGAAACTAGTTATTTTTATTATGATCATATAAAGTCTTTGAAAGTTATTTTGTATTTTGTTGATGTATATAGTACTTAAAAATATTTGAGTGCTTAAAAAGTCCTGAAAAGGTGCTTAATTTTTGTTAAAAGATTTAGCTATGCCTTGGAACATCTAAACCTAGGCTCTGCAAAGCTACCAAACCTAACATTTTGCTAATAATTCTGTAGTGCTTGTTAAGTATTTTTTGTCATTAAAAAATTTAATAATAAGCTCCTGTTAATATTAAAATGTAGGTGGTTCCGGATGAACAGATGGCAGATGAAACATATGAACAATTTGAGGAGCGTATTTTGACAAAAAGGACTACACATCTGTTGCATTGTATTCACAACAGACTGGAAACCTTTCATCAAGTGAATTTTAATGAATTTGTCAGGAATAATAAACGCAAGCAGGTGAGATTCATAATATCAATCTATTTATCATAGCTGCCAATTCTCCCATTGGCAGAATCTCCTGAATTCCTGAAAAATGTTTTTCTGAAATGTCAAAAAAATGTATGATGATTTTTTTTTTTTTTTTTTTTTNTTTTTTTTTTTTTTTTTTTTTTGGAAGCATTGTTTTACATGTTTGCTATTTTTGTTCTGGAAATTGAAGCAAAAAAAAACTCAGAACTCTTCTTTTTCATCAACACTACAGCCTAGTGCATGCCTTATCTGCTGCCTCCTGACATAACGATTTACTGCAATGCTTCTGGCGATAATTGTTTCCAAATGTTGCCTAAATCATAAGCGGGGAATTTGGGGGGAAATCCAGGGAATTTTTATTTTCGACTTTTAAAAATTGGTGACCACTCAAAAGCCAATCTATGGGATATTTAAGGAAGATATTTCAGCTGTACTGAACTATTTCATTTACTATAGCAAGTTTTTTCAGCATTTAAAACTAGCATAGTTTACCCATGAGAGCTCATACAAGATTACAGTAATTTTTCTCTCTTAATACGTTGTGTATAATACGCACAGGAAAACACGGGGAATTTTTTTTTACCAGATTTCAGTGGCAACCCTGCTAAAGTACTTAATGTTTCTAAATAAAATGATATAAATCTATTATATAGTTATTACTAAGGCCTGGATTTTGATGACATTTGCATTTTTGGACATTTTTTGTCCTTTAGAGCATTTTTTTAGATTTATAGGGAATTTTTTCTTAAATTTTGGGGCATATTTTGCATTTTTTAAGTTTTTTGTTAATTTTTTCCAATTTTTATTATTTTTTTGGGCATTTTTATTACATGAAATGCAAGATTTGTCTTATGATTTTACATTTCATATTGTAACTCTCAATACCACCTGCATGCCATTATGTTTTTCCATTTTGTTATTGATTGATATAAAATCTTTAGAAGTAATTCTTTGTTACAGCTTTCCTTTTTTTGTTATTTTAGGACATAAAACATATTTTTCAAACTTTAATGAACGTAGAACAAGTATTGCATTGCTTTATATTTTTTTAAATAACTCATAATAATTTTAAAGAGTAAAACATTGTTTTAGTTCAATATTTTTACTTTATTTCAGTCGTGTCATAAGGCATTTTTAGCGCAATTTTTGCATTTTTAAGGGCATTTTTTGCACTTTTTAAAGTCATTATTTGAGATTTTTTAAGTCATCAAAATCCGGGCCCTAGCTATTACAAACTAAGCAACTAAAATACAATTATTAAGTAGCAAATAATTTTTCATAAAATTAATGAAAAGTTGCAATTTGTAAGTTTCCTAACACTCTAATCTATTTTTGAATTTCAGGTGGCACAAAAATTTTACACATTTTTAGTTCTGAAAAAGCAGCAAGCTGTAGAACTGGAGCAACATACGACTTACGGAGATTTAATCATCACAAAAGGACCTAAATATAATTTAGCCTACAATGGGAACTAAATAAAGGGTCTGTCATTCATTCATTCATATTTTGAAATTATATTAAAACATCCTAGTCTTCATCTTTTTATTCAAATACACTGGATGACGTCTGTAAAAAGAGAAATTATTTCTGTTGGAACATTTATGAGTAACAGGATTTAAGTATGTTGAATGCATAGGATTTTTATCTATTGAAAATTGAACACGAAATTAATAATAATTACTTATTTGAAATAATTATGTTGGATCATGTGTGTTCCTTTTTAAACTGAATATAGAAGAAAAATAATCTACGATGAATGAACTTTTTAGTTTAAATAATTATGTTGAATGCGTAAGATTTTATCTGTACTTCTTCAAATTGAATGAAAATTAAGGATAACTGATTCATTTGAAATAATTGTGTTGAATAAAATGAAAATAACTCTATTTTGAACTTAGTCAGCAATAAGAAATGACAGCTAAATTAATAAACTTGATTTTCAGTTGAAATAATTATGTTAAAATGCAAATGGTTTTATGTGTATTTCTTCCGATGGAATAAATAATAATGAAGTTAATAATAGGCTGGTTTATTTGAAATAATCAGGTTGCATGTAAAGAACAGAATTAACAAACTTTATTTATTTTTTTATTTTTACTAGTTTAAATAATTATGTGGAATACAAAAGCAGAGATGCGGACTATTTCAGATTTAAGTTCCAGCTTATAAAAAACCTAATTTCTCGATTATTAAAATAGTTTTATTTGTTGGAACATTTTTTCTTTGTGGTGCGAAATGACCCTTCATTTTAAGTTTAAAAAATTTTGATTTTAATTATTAGCTCTGTTATTAAATTTCTAGCAATTTTTTCATGTGTTTTATAAATTTCAATTTTTTGTTGTTTTCTTGATAGTTTTAAAAAAAATCTAAGTGTTTTACTTTTGTACAGTATTTTTTAAGTCTTATTTGATTGGAACATTGTTTTGTCCAGTATATTAATCCAAGATAATTCGATCGTTTTTAATTTTCAGATCTATTAATATGATATATCAATCTTCTCGCTATAAGTGAAATAACTTGAGAAAACTTGTTATTATGGAGTTTCAAATCATATACTTTTTACTTGTGACTAAATTTGTTTGCGTTTTAACAATATCATTAAGCAATAAATTTGTTTCATCAAAATAGTTATTTATTGAACTTGTTTTCATTGTTTTTTTTTTAATCCCTCGCCTTTGTTAACTTTATAAAACTAAATATGTTGCTTAGAAAAACTTAAATTGCGAATCATGATTCTGCTTCATGACAGTTATGTGACCGTTGCATTATCATGGGTCTGTCTAGGTTTTACTGAAAGGTACCTATTTTGTGAAAATTAAGACATAATTTGTGAAAAATTAAAAATTATATTAAAAAATCAATACAAAAACATAGTAAAAATATAGATTTATCGTTTCTTAAGGGATACAAAAATAAAATTTTAAGAAAAAGTATTTTGTGAAACTACCGTTTTTCCTAAAGTTGAATTTGTGACACTACCGTTTTACCTAAAATTGATTTTGTGAAGGTACCGCTAAACGGTAGTAAATTCGGCCCGGACGGACCCCTGATTATAGGCTGACAATTTTGCTGTTCAGACATTATTTCAAAACTGAAAGCGTAATTAACAAAATTGGGGGGGGAGACAAATTTCTTTTAATTGATATGTTTCATCTTGAGTGATAATTCATGCATGTTGTATTATATTTTAAAATCATGTTATCATATGTCTTGTCATCGTTGATTTTTTTTAAATCTCTTCCAACTGAACTTTCATTCCGAAATCAAATTAACGATTATTAACTGTCGTTTTTTAAATAAAATGATCGTGGCAAAAAGCTTTTTCATTATATTTTGAATTATAAATCCTATTTTTGAATTGACTATGTTTGTAATGTTTCAGTATTTCGTGTCTACTGCATTTTTATTTTTTAATAAAATTATAATCAGAAAAGAATAACTTTAAATAATGATTAATCATCTACATGGAAACTAATTTAATGAAATTTATTTATGTACTTATTATGCACATTGCTTAGAAGAAGCCACTATATGCTTCTACTTTAATTTTATGGATGATAGTTTTGTGTTTTAACTGTTTTAAATTTAACGTAAAGGCAAAGTACTTCTTAATCGTTTAATTGTAACTGTTGCTTCTTTTTTTTTTTTTTAAGTTTTCAGTTCTAATAATCCTGTATCTGTTATTAGATAACAATGATTAAAATCAGTTTTTTTTAACAAATCATTAACATTTTTAAACTTAATATAATTATACATTAATAGTGAAGATTTTTTTTTTCTTGAAGTTTCTTTTGCTTATCTATCAATTGCATTTTTAATCCATCATGTTGCTTGTTGATACTTATACATTAAATTAATTAAACTATTTTTTTATTCATACTTATTTACCATTTTCTTTATTTTTTTCTGCATGTTGTAGTAAAGCATATTTGTTTTAATATCCTGTACAATAAATTTGAATAAATATTATGTTAAATTTTGCTTGCAATTTTATATTTTATTGATGTGTTTCTCTTAAGTGCTCCTATGTGTTTGTGTGGCTTCTTTTAACATGCTGAATTATTTGCCTGCAATTACTTCCCTGCTTCTTAATATTAAATTAAAAAAATTTCATTTGATTGATTGATTGAATTCTTCATTGATTTTGATCAACCTTTGAGGCATGGCTAGAAATGCCTGGGTCCATAAGTGCTCTGGTAAAAATTAAAGGTTTTTTATTTTCATTAAGATGTAAATGAAATCAACTTTAATTTGTCTCTCTAAATATATTTAATTTAAAATAGTTTTCTTAATTAACTAGAAAACCTTATAAATTTATGTATGTTTACTTAAATGTATGATATTGTATATTTATTCTCATAATGTCGTAAAAAAAAATCTCATTAATAAAGTGGATTACACATTCGCTTAGTCATTCGTTAATTGAAATCAAAACCTTCAGGTATCGATTACATTAAGTAGCTGGCATTGTCATTGATTATTGAACTAGAAACTTCGTGTATAATTAAGTTTCCATCCATAATTAGTAACTAATAAAAAAATAATTGGGATAATTAAATTAGAGATTGTTTTAAATTTCTGCATATTTAGTGAAAAACAAGTTACTTGACATTTTTAAGACAATAAGCATGTTTGGTGAGATTTTAGTAACACTGAAATTTTTGTGGTTTAGAAAATGTTAGTATGCATGTACATAGCTGCCGACTTTACGGAATTTTTCTTTTAATCTGACATTCTCCTAGTTTTTGTATGTTTCAAAAAATTTCCAAAAATTAAGAAATTTTCTGAAAAATCTTTTTATTTTGCATTGATTGTCTAAGTATTTAAATGAGTATTTCCAGTAAATAAAAAAGCAAATCTCATTCATAGTAATTAGCAGAACTGTTATGGTACTGAAAAGCTATCAAAAAAATTTTTTGCATTAACTTTAAAGAAAATTATAAATCGTTATTTCTACTTACAAATTTAAATTAATAAATTTAATTAAAATACACGATAATAATTGAGCATGAAAATTTTTAATCGATTAAGATGTCGATGAATACTCGATGTAGATAAATAAGAATTTGTTAATTTCAGTTACAATCTTTTCTAAGATTATCAGCATTAATTGCGTTGTATTGTCAAATATTTTTTGATGTTCGTAAAATTGAAAAAGCCAATTCTTAGATCTTGAAAACTCACACCAAGATTGGCGTATTATTAACTAGAATAAGAAATTTACACTGATTCGTAAGAAGGAGAGAAAAAAAATGCATTTATCATCAATATCCTAGCTTTGGTAATTGGTTTAAACTTTTTTTTTTTATTATTAAAATGTTTCAATTTCGTTTAATTTGAACTTTCTAATTATTTGTTAAAGAATGTGTAATTTATCTAGAAATTGATTCACATTCTATTACTATTCAAACTAAGGATTTCAAAAGTAGAATAAAAAAATATTTTAGATTGACGTCAATCAAATGCCAGGCATAAATGGCAGTCAACTTAATGTAATATAGTTTTGCACTAAAAATATTGCTAAAACTCATTGTGTTAAGAATATTAATTATTTCATAGCTGCCAACTACTGGATTTTACCTGTTTCTACTGGTTTTTGAGCATTTTAGTAAATTCCCTAAATTTGAGTGAATGCTTGAATGCTAAATTTGCTTGAATGTTTTAATACATATTGAAGCTAGTCTCATTCATAGAAATCAGTTTAAATTTTTTTTTCTAAATTGTTCAGTTAATTTTTATTCTGAACTCCCTTTTTAAATTTATTAAAAATCAACTATCTTTGATAAATAAAATGCTATGCCCCATGACAGAATCGCATCGACACAGCGACATTGTCGCAGAACATTACAGAGTTCTTGCAGGAAGATTTTTCCTTTGAAGGGTAAAAAAATTTTACTTTTCTTTTCTACAGAAATTTACACATAATATTTGAACATTTAGATAAACACTTTCTGGCGCACTCAATTGACGCCAATGAAGGTAATGTTTCAGTAGTATTTTCAGCAGTTTATTGATGTTCACTTGGATTTTTAAATATCCTGTTTTATATTTAAAACAATATGGAAAAATCAAATGGTGCTTTTGAGTATTTATTTTTAGAGCAATAACTCTATCGAATTTTTTTCATTTATTGCTATTGCATGGTTTTTAGATCCGATATTTTTTATACAATATTATTTATTACAACAACCTGATCTCAAAACACGCATTTGAGGAGTCCGGTTCGCTTAATTTTGTCATCTATCTTTTTTTTTTCCCCGGCAATTATTGCTGTGGATTTCATGATTTTTAATTATTATTTTTATTGTGATGATTATTTACAAAATGCAAAGAATGAAATAATTTGCAATTTGTGCATCTCCCCCAACAAAATGCGTGAATATCATCCATAATCTAAGAATTAAAAAAAATATATCTTCAATTAGAGAATATTATATAGTTTTTGTAAACAGCACTTTTGTTATTATTAAAAGTATCTTGCAGAAAGATATTAGTGCTAGCGAGTTTTGTCGCAGATATCTCGAAAATATTCCACCACGGGGCTTCTATGTAAAATTACGAGTGAATATAATACATTTCAAGTTTGTTTAATATCAATCATAACTGGAAACTATTGCAGTTTTTCTGTTTTGATGACTATAAAATTTCCTATGTGTAAAATATTTACATTATGCAGCAATTATAATGAAATTTATATTATTTCGTAAAATCTGTTGAAACTTTTCCTATCCATGTTCGCAGCTATGCATTTTAGTTTGAAATCGCACTAAGATGTCACTTAACATGCCTCTAAATTTGTTATCACTTCACTTCTGTTACAATTAAGCTCTTTAATATTTATTTTTCTGGATAAAATTGTTGTTTTTCTTGTATAAATATTATCTGAATCATAGTTTAAGAATGAATATGAAGTTGTTTTATGTATCATGCGGATATATTATGCATCATATGATACATTTATATATCTGATATAGTATGCATCATATCAGAGGCATGCACAGGGTTAAGAAGGAATGATTGATTGATTAAATTGTAGATATGCTTAAATAAAATTATTAAAATGAATATTGAAAAGTAAATTAAAAGGCTGCTTGCATTTTTTCTTGAAAATAATAAATAAATCTCTTTATATTTTGTCAAATTTTTAAAAATTAAATCTAATATGACTATTTAAAAACTATTAGTGAAAATCAAAATACTTGAATGTGTGCGTTATTCGATTAAATGGTGTACAATTTATTGCTATTGTTTTTCCAACATTTTTAGTAAATGCATGTTAAAAACTAGGTGGAGGAGTTTGATCCTTTTCATTTTTAAACCACTTTTACTTTAAAAAAATAAAAATATCTAGAAAAAGAACAAGTTTAGAACTTTTATAAAGTGTTTAAAAACAACTTATGGAAGAAACTATATCAGATTCTTGCCTACAACTATTATTATATTGAATTCAGAATAATAATTAGGCATAAAATATTTCTGCAGTGCTTGAAGAAATATTTAGTTAGTCGGTATTAAAATAAAGATTTAAATATTTGATTTAAATTGTCAAATGCAAATTTTTATGTGTAAAGAGTGGTAGCAAAAAGCTACATTATCTCTGAAAGTGCTGAAACTATGCAGCGGTTCTGAATTATTATTTTAGCTAATGAGCCATAAATGATTGACCTTCTTTTGTTGGAACCGCAACTGCAATTTTTCAAAGGCCAAAAGAGCTGATCTCACTAACCAACATTATGGAACCTAGTTCAATATGATTCAACAATTTCATATTGGTCGTTCAACAATTCGAAACAACTTCTCTGAGTACGCAACCATTTCTACCATACATAGTTTTGAATTTCTACTATAGTACAATCCATAACCTAATAAAAATGAGCATGTTATAGGCTATAGTCATAGCTGCCAACTCTTCTGGATTTTGACCGTTTCTCCTGATTTTTATAAATCTTAGAAAATTCCCTAAAATTGAGTTATTTTCCTAAACAAATACCAATTGACATAGAATTTTTGTACAGATTATTGCTTCCTTGAATATTTAAATAAGTACATATTACTAATACATAATGAAGCAAACCTCATTTATAGAAATAAGTTCAAAACTTTTTCTTGTTATAAAATATTCAGTTTGTTTTTATTCAGAACTCTCTTTTTAAATTAATAAAAAAAAAATCTTTGTTGAATTAAATGCGTTTTAATATTTGAAATTATGAGTGTATATAATAACATAACGTTTCAAATGTGTTTAATGTCAATCATAACTGGAAAATATTGCAATTTTTGTATTTTGAAATCCCTAAAATTCCCTGTGTGTAAAATATTTAGTACTTTATACAATAATTATCATGAAATTTATGTTTCGTAAAATCTACTGGATTTTTTCCTGCTCAAGTTGGCTGCTATGGGTATAGCATACTACGAAAAAAGTTCTAACTCTTGGAAACCACTGCACGATTGTACACCATTTTGTATAATCAAGTATTTCTTGATTAGTGATTTTTAAAAGTAAGTTTTTTAGAGAGTGAAATAATACCCCTATTTAACTGTGTACGCCTGTGGTCCTACTTATAACATTGTTTTATTGTAAATATTTTATAAATTTTTCTAATATCACTTACTATGCATTTTCTCATCATTGAAATTGATTATTGACAAATGTTTATTGTTACACAGAAGAAGGTTTAATCTATTTCTCACAACTAGAGTGGATTTCATTTTATAGTATCTCTATTGTGTAAAAGGTTATTTTTATATGTCATTGTATATATTACCCATTGACATGTTAATTAAATTTTTTTTTAAAGCTGAATTACATTTTACTTTAATGCATCTATGTATAAATCAATGGTAAAGTAGTATTATGCTATGGAGATTTTATCAATATTAGAAACAATATTGTACATAACTTTTTTTTTTCTTTTCAAATAAAGTTATCTGTTTTATGAAAAGTCTTTCTTTTTTTTTTTTTCTTTCTTAATATCTTTGATTTTCTGTTCTGTGTCAAGAACTAGATTATATGTATAATTCTAGACATGATCTTTAATTCTGGAATTTGGATTAAAATTTAATAACTGCTTGTTAGGATATGAATTCTAGAATTGTGGATATTAATTCAAGAATTAGAAAGTTGTATAATTGATCAATATTTATGGCCTTTTGTTATTCCATCTGCAGAAACCTTTTTTTTAAAAACGTTAACCTGTCAAAAAGTGTGATGAAAATATTTTAAATCTATCTAAAACTCTAAATTACGTCGGAATCCGGGCTAATATCCTGATTTTAATATTAAACGTCAATTTTCGTATTTACCTGATTTAAAAGTTACACATTGTGAATCGTTATTCACGAGATTCAAATAACGTACATTGCGGTTTGTATTCACGTGATTTAAAAATCCACTATCGCATTTGCGCTATTTAAAACTCAGATCCAATATCGCGATTCATATTCACGCAATTTTTGTAAGAATTAAGTTTTTTCTTACATTAGATACTATAAATAAAGGTGTGATATTTTTCATTGGTAAGTAATTTTATTACAAATCTTAGTTCAAAAAATTTATATTAACCATGCATATTATAAAAATTGTTAGCGTGGTTTTGCCCATAAAATTTTCAGGATTGTTCGCTTTGTGTCACATTTATTTCTGAAAATAATATTACCGTACTATTCAAAATTTTTCACGGCCAGCATTAAATAAAATAATAAATATATACTAAAAGTAATAGTTTGCATTGAATTAACTTTGGATAAGCAAAGTTTAAAATTGTAAGCGAAATTTTTTTAAAAAGTTCTCGAGATATGGTGAAATACGCGAAAGTAAAATAACTAAAAGTAAACTATTGGAACCCTATATCCCAGATTGCTGCTACCCCTTAATATTTTGATAGTCAGAAATCAGAATCCATCAACAAAAAAGAAGTTACATTTATACAGAGAAGGTATGTTTTGTCTTATAACTTAAAATATCGTCTGCACTAATTAGTTAGCGTATTTGAGGTCCCCCCCCCCTTGAACCGTTAAGATATTAAAGGTGGTCTGTTTTTAATTTTGCACAGGGATTTTCTTTCCTGCTTTGGGTGACAATCTTATCTTAAAATCTAAGTACGGGGGCTATTTTATTAAATAAGGGCAGTTAGAAAATAAAAACCAAATGGAAGAAAATTTTCATGAAGAAAATTTTATTTTTAATTCTACATACGTTTCTTTTTTTTTTTTTTTCAAAATAGTTGACAATTTTGCTTTAACACTTATACCTTACAACTAGATTTGGAATACCCTCTTCATACAAACTTGCCGCCTGCTCCGATATCCAAGAGGTTCACGTCTTCGTTGTGGTTGTACTGGTTGCCGGCAAAACGGTGTTTAGAGCATCGGAAAAGATGAAAATCACTTAGCGCAAGGTCTGGACTGATGAGGGGTGGTCCAAAACTTCCCAGCCAATAAAGCTCGGGACTGAGCTGTGGAGAGAGTCATTGCATGGAGTAACGAAATTTTCTGTCAGCATGCCATCGGGGAGCTTTGTAAGCTTCGGAAATGTGTCGGTGAAATATATGCTGCAAACAGGTTTTTTGGCGACTGAAAACACATAACTGACCGTACCTCATACGCGGCGGGTAATTTGTTAAATTTAAACATTTTAAGGACACAACTGACCGCACAGGATACATACACAGTTGTTCCCAAGGAATACCGAGACACACCACTAGTACTCGTTGCGATGCAACCGTCACCGTACTCAACAAAACGGACCTTAATTAAAAAAACAGCCCTCGTAGAGTTAAAATAGGTACTAAAAGCTACGCTATTTTTAAACATATTTGGAAGGTAACATACTTTTTTTACACAAATTACGAGCCTAATTTCTATTATTTCGTCATTAAGGGTATAAGAATGCTATTGCTTCAAGGATTTTTTTTACAATAATTTGAATCCCAGAATTAAAATCCGTTGGAACGAATTATTTTAACTTTATTTGTTGATAACGGCTATTGGTATGCGTTGGAAATTTTTATTATGGATGCATTAAAACGCATAGCTTGTATAATTTTAAGCGAAGAACGCCTAAAGCATACCGTAAAATATATCTAGAATAAATTTTGGAATAAATAATAAATTTTAAAACAGGACTAGGATTTAACTTTGATTTGAAGCTAGAAGGCATTCAATTGTCTCATTCGACTTTCAAAATGTTAAATGTAAATGATTTTTTTTTTTTTTTTTTTTTTNTTTTTTTTTTTTTAGCGTCCTTCAATATGTGTTTCAAGTCTAGCACTCAAACAAAAAAAAAATTTTATTGCATCGATTTTTTTAGAAAGTTGAGACTAATTATTATTTTTTTCAATCTAAGAGCGTATGTCATTCATTTACGTAAAGCTTATTTTAATATCGCGTGAAGTAATTTAATATACTGTGTTACTCTAAATGAATAATCCCAAGAAACGGTAGCGAAAAGATAAAAACTTTATAGACTTTAAAAAATATGAAAATGATAATAAAAGTAAGAATGTTTTGAGTATTAAAAAATTCATATCAGAACTGGTGGCGAGACTTTAAAATGGACGCCTTTTTCAGAGCTCTCGAAACACGCCGACTTTTTGCACATTGATTCAAAATAAAAGTATAAAACAATTGTTGAGCCGTGATAGCTCAAGGAGTAGAGCATTCACATTGCAATGAGGAGACCGGGGTCGAATCCCAGCAATGGCTAGTCGATATGAATTCTGCATCTGGCTTATACCGACCAAAGTACTGACGTAAAATATCCTCAGTGGCGGATCATGGGTTTAGAGTCCCCATGCCGTCAGGCTAGCCGTGAGAGGTTTTTGTGGTTTTCCTCGCCATGTAACGCAAATGCTGGTTAGTTCCATCAAAAAGTCCTCCACGAAGGCAAAATTTCTCTCTATTTTGAGCCAGGAGTTTTCTTGTCTTCTGAATTGGGTTCAAAATGACAAGCCATGGAGATGAACATTAGTAGTCGTTGACCCAAAAAATTGGGCCATCTGTTTAACAGCGGTTTCAAAATAAAATAACATTTGTAGAGTCATGATGGCTCAGGGAGTAGAGTGTTCACCTTCCAATGAGTTGACCCGGGTTTGAATCCCAGCGAAGGCTAGTCGGTTCGAATTCCGCATCTATCTTGCACCGGCCACAATGCTGACTGAAAATATCCTCAGTGGTAGGCTGATTATTAGTTAGAGTCTTCTAGCCATCAGCTGAACCGTGGGAGGTTATCTTCTCGTTGTAATTCTCTATTTTTCTTTATGAAAAAATGTAACGACTTAGTAGCACAAATTAAATTTATGTACAATTAATTATGGCACGAATTTAAGTTTTAAGCCAAGATAAGCCGGCGCCTTCATGATAAATGTGTTCCAACTCATAAAGCTTTAACAAGTTGTTACATCTTAATTTAGCTCTAATATTGGCATGTAACAACTTTTCATTTGGAATAGGCTTTACTAGGCCTTTATCGCATGTAACATAACATTGCCTCAATAGGCCTTAAGGAAGTTACATTTCCAAGTTAGGCTTAGCTAAGCCTTAACGGTACTGGTACGTAGACTTCTCATTAGGCTTAACTAGGCCTCAATGAGGTAACATTTCTAGGTTAAGCTATGCCTAGTAGTGGTATGCTACATCGCTTTAATAGGCCTGGCTAAGCCTTAACGGTGCTGGTATGTAGATTTCCCATTAGGCTTAGCTAGGCCTAATGGTATGTCATTTCGCTCCCCCATTAGGCTTAGCTAAACCTTAACGGTACTGGTACGCACACTTCTCATTATGCTTAGCTGGGCCTTAATGAAGTAACATTTCCAGGTTAGGCTTAGCTATGCCTAATGGTATGTTACCTCGTTCCCTTATAAGGCTTAGCTAGGCCTAATAGTTTGTTACTTTGCCGCCTTATTAGGCTTAGCTAGGCCTAAAGGTATGTTACCTCGCTCCCTCATAAGGCTTAGCTAGGCCTAATAGTTTACTTTGCGGCCTAATGGTATGTTACTTCGCTCCCTCATAAGGCTTAGCTAGGCCAAATAGTTTGTTACTTTGCCGCCTTATTAGGCTTAGCTATGCCTAATGGTATGTTACCTCGCTCCCTCATAAGGCTTAGCTAGGCCTAATAGTTCGTTACTTTGCCGCCTTATTAGGCTTAGCTAGGACTAATGATATGTTACTTCGCTCTCTCATAAGGCTTAGCTAGGCCTAATGGTATGTTACTTCGCTTCCTCATAAGGCTTAGCTAGGCCTAATAGTTTGTTACTTTGCGGCCTTATTAGGCTTAGCTAGGCCTAATGGTATGTTACTTCACCCCCTCAATATATTTCGCTCCCTCATTAGGCTTAGCTAAGCCTTAACGGTACTCGTACGTACACTTCTCATTATGCTTAGCTATGCCTAATGGTATGTTATCTAGCTCCCTCATTAGGCTTAGCTAGGCCTAATGGTATGTTACTTCGCTCCCTCATAAGGCTTAGCTAGGCCTAATAGTTTGTTACTTTGCCGCTATATTAGGCTTTAAGGAGGTAACATTTCCAGGTTAGGCTTAGTTATGCCTAGTGGTATGCTACATTGTCTCAATAGGCTTGACTATGCCTTAACGGTACTGGTACGTAAACTTCTCATTAGGCTTAGCTAGGCCTCAATGAGGTAACATTTCCAGGTTAGGCTTAGCTATGTCTAGTGGTATGTTACATCGCCCCAATAAGCCTTAAAGGTGCTGGTATGTAGAATTCCCATTAGGCTTAGCTAGGCCTTAAGGAGGTAACATTTCCAGGTTAGGCTTAGTTATGCCTAGTGGTATGTTACATTGCTTCAATAAGATTAGCTAAGTTTTAACAGTATTGGTATATAGATTCCTCCAAAGGCTTACCTAGGCCTAACACTTCTAATTTTTTGATTAAGTGTGCCGAGAGATATGTTACATCGCCACGTTTGGAGGCGCTAGACTTTAATGAAATCTTAACCTTTCAGATTAGGCTTGGCTAGACCTTGTGATACGCTACGTTGTCACACTAGGCTTAACTAAGCCTTAATCATTTGTAACACCGTGTAAGTGGGATTCAACGAGGCTTAGCTAAGCCTTAACGGCTTAGCTGTCTTACTGAGATGTTAATCGCCACGTTAGGCTCACCTAGACCTTAATTGTATTTGAATGCAACACCGCATTAGATCTTGATATGTTACACCACCATATAAGGTTGATCTAGGTCTAAATGACATGTTCCATCAATTTATTAGCTTTTGGATTCTTAACTACAATCTCATGAAGATACTTTATTAATGAAAATCTCGTATAGTATATAATCTTCTAAAGTAGGAATGAGAATTTAGACACTAGGGACTAGTATGCGTCAGTCAGTAATATAGAATCAGCACCTCTGACCTCCTTTTCGAGGTTAACCCTCGAGAAGCATTGCCACTTATGATTGGTAAAAGTTACAACAGACTTTTAACTAAGTTTAATGCTATTTCGCTTTTCTAAACATCTTTGTTCTTTAAGCCGATGTTGCATGTTAGCAAAGTGATACAATAGAAACATGGTAAGACTAAATTGGTACGTAATACTACATCAAAAACAGATAACTGGTTTTGATGTTTTCCGTCCCGGTCTTCTGAGTACAGATTATTTAGAATCTAAGAGAACCTGCTTTTCTGTGCTTCAATATTTGTCGACCACTTATAATACCGATCAAGACAAATTCAGGCCCACAAAAGTATAAGTTTCTGAAGAGTAGTCCTAACTATAAAAAGAATCTATTGAACTTCATGATTCAAGAGAAACAATCTAAAAAATTATGAAAGCAGACAATTGAAGATAAGTTTAAACATGTAATTATTAAAGCAAAATATAAAACAATACAACAATGTTGTATGAAAATAAAAATAGTTTTGTGACCACAAACAATTGAAATCACTGATTAGCTTAATTATTTTAAAGATTGCAGCCTTCCATCTACAGCTTTACATATTTGTTAAGTTCTTGTTGACACTTATCATTTATAAGAAACTTCGCGAATATGCATTCTCGTTGCATTTCCTTAAGCCGTTGGAGTAAAAATTGCATCAATTAAAATTCAGCTGCACTTTCGAAATTGATTAGTGCAATGTTTACACGAGTTTGGTTTATCACAATATAAAGAAAATTTGAAAAAAAAAAGACTTTTTTGAGATAAACTGTTTCTTTCAGCATTCTTTTTTTTTTAAATATTGTGGACTGTTTACAAATTTTTGAGGCCCTGGTAATAGCAGCCAACATGAAAAGAAGAAAAATCATCAGAATTTACGAAATTAATTTGATGAAAACTACTGAGTCCTTATTTTAGACGAGGATAATTATACAGACTAAAACCTTTTTTATTATTATACTAATAACTACAAGCCTATATTGACTGTAGAAATTTTCGTCGGTAATTCTCTTTCTCCATCATTACTAAGTTAAAGTGTAGAAAAAGTGCGTTTCAGACAAACCTAGAGAAAGCTATGAAGTTACAAACACTGAAAAGAAAATTTTAAAATATTCAAATGAAAAAAATTTATGAAAGGATAACTTAGGATTACGCAAACGGAGAGTTTTCTAATAATTTATTTGCATTTTAATATTTTGAAGTATTTTTTTTTTCAGCAATTGTAACTTCAGGATTTACTCTAGGTTTGACTGAACATACTTTTTCTTTCTTTTAAATTAGTAATAAAGGAGAAACGGAATTTGCGACGAAAATTTTCTTCCGCGGTAAGACTCCCTCTGAAGGCCTCAGTTTGGTCCATTCTAGATTGTTCAAATGCAAGACATTTGATTAAACGAAATACTGGCTGTTCAATTATTCATTCCTTAGATAATTGAGCTTTTTTTTTTCTTCAATAAATAATAAAATTGAAGTACCTTTTACATACTAAAGGGTTCCTAATACCCAGAACTACTTGGAGTTTTGCAATACTTAATAAAGTATCTAAGAGTATCTCTGCAGAAGGTTTGATAGATACGCATACCTGCCAACATTGGAGAAATAACGGAGGTTTTACTAGCAACATTTTTTAGGCTTCGCGTAAAGTTTTGATTCATCATGCATAATGTAAGTCAAAAAGAAAAATTCAAATTAATATAAGCACCTACATTTAGCGAAGTACAAAAATGTATGTACAAAAATCTTAAGACTTTTTAAACCATTATTTATAATTACTTAAACTATAAACACTCCTCAACATACTGCAGTACTGGCATTAGCACCATCTGTTGAGGAATAAGAAAAGTATTTTTGCCATTAACAGATATTTTATCACCAAAATTTTTTTTTTTTAAATTTCTTCAACAAATACGGAGAAATTTGAGAATCAACGGGTAAAAAAGAGATAGGCATAAAATACAGGAGTCTTCGTTAAAAAACAAGAGACTTGGCAGGTATGCATACGTTTCTATAAGGCTAACACATGAATGATTAAATAAGCACTTAAATTAAATTATGAAAAATCAAAATCACTCAACACTTTCAGCAAGTTATTTTTCAAATTACAGAGGGGGGAAAAACGAGAGGGGCCAAACTGGCCAGGTTTTCTAGTATTGAGCAAAAAAAAAGCTTTTGCGGACGAGCATGAAAGAGAAAAATAAATGAGGCAAAAATCTCTTTTGACAGAACTTTTTATTGAAAATGATTAATAACGTGCAATGTGAAGAATAAGACTTACAGCCGCACGTGTAAAGAAGCTGCAAGATTTCACTCTTAGCATTTTTGTTGATGGAATGTGTGTAGTTCACATACAGTAGTAGAAGGTGAAAAGGAACGTAAAACTATCGCCACGTCTACTAGTCCTTGTCTTTTATTTTTATTTATTTTTGAGAACATGGTATAAAATTTTTACAAGCGCAACATCATATGATGAACTTCTATAATACACGAACCTTAAAATAGAAGAGGTAAAAAGATCTGAACTTCTTGAACTGCTTTTTCTTTCCTTTTACTTTGATGTCATCATTGTTACGAATTCTAAAAACAATCATTCAATTAATGGTTGCAAATAATCAAACAACAGATTTAAAAACTAATCACAAACTAAAGACATACAGGGTATCTGATACATTTTAGATTTTCAAATTCATGACTTTCCACAACTAATTCCAACAATTTTTCGTGACTTACTGAAGTTAGTATTTTCTCCGACATAAACGCAACAATAAATTTAACAATAAAAATAACATTAAATGAAATGATAGGTATAATAACCAAAACTGCTATACTCTGCATCTTCACATTTATAGATATTTAATTTAAAAAACAGAGCAAAGAAAGAGTTCAAGTAATAAAATAGCTGGAAAAAAATACAAAAGCAAAAATTTTTTTTCTTTTTCTGGAGAATTATATTCTTAAGATACTTTTCTTGTTCACCAGAAAGGAAAGAAATACTGGTCATTTTTCTGTTTTTAATTCAAAATAAGAAAAATTCACCAATGAATGGCTTGCTTTAGCTGGAATTTTAAATTTATAAAATAAAAAAATAAATAATAAAGAAAAAAAATCCAAAATCAAAGATGTTTAAAAGATAATTTGCTCTAGAAATTATGTTCTTTCTTTTATCTTTTGAAAGAACACCATAATTTTTAAAGAACATGATAAAAATCATTTGATATTTTAATAAAATATGACCGTGTGTGGGGTTTTTGTTACAAATTCAGATATTCCAAAATTTCAGAACACTGTGAAATTGGGAGAAGGGGGAAAATTCATTTTAAAAATTGGATTATTTGGTGACCTAAATCCATGTCTTTCCATGAGTTCCCCCTACCAATAAAAAAAGGCAGGGCTTTGAATTTCAAAAGCCCACTTACTTATCACTGTAAAAATGTATCAAATTGTGTAATATCATGTAATAACTGAATTTGATACTCAACAATATTTAATTTACCCTCTCATGCTATTTTATGTATATATTTCAAAAAGTAATTGTAAAGTAACATTATCCAAACCAGAGAAAAATTTGTAGACTTAAATAATTAAAGGCATGTTAAAAAAAAAAACAAAAACAATCTGAGTATAATTCTTCTTCAAAAGAAAAAAAAAATTATTGATCAACTTAGAAGCTTTTTTCTATAATTTAAACTGAAAGTTATGGGGGGAAAAAAAAGAAAAAAAAATTATTGGTGCATTTTTTTCTCAAAAAAGGTTATTTAAAATTTTTTTTTTAAACATAATCACTTAAATTTATTAATATACCAACTCCTCTGAAAACAAAGAGAAACTTTTAGGGCAGACCATCTTCAAAAATGCTTAGGGAGAAAAAAAATTTATGTTTCAGATGAAAATTCAATGGTCTTCCAGTGCTTCATGCAAATATTACAAAACAACTTATCATATTATTACAAAACTTATAATCCGTGGAAATTTAGTTTTCTATTGTTCAGGAAATTTTTTTTTCCAGCTATCAATGAAGAACATGTCTAAGTCAGATGAAGATACGTGTGCATTCACAGAAACTGCACCATAGTAGAGGATAAGGGGGGGGGGGAATAATAAAAAAAAAATTCTGTGTAGACAACATAACTTTTAAATCTAGAACACTACTGAAAACAAACTAGTGCTGGAAAAGGTCAATTCACTTGTTACAGCAGATGCGGCTGAACATTTCTCAAGCACCCTGTGGCAGAATCATGACACAGCAACGTTGTCGCAGTATGTTAAAGAGTTCTCGCAGGATTTCCCGCCGTTGGAAAATAAATAATTTTGCTTTTCTTTTCTGCAGAAATTTTCGAACGATTTTATCTTTTCCTCACAATTAGATTGAAAAGATGCCTTTCTTGCGCATCGGAGTGGAAAAAAATGCTTGTGATTTTTCTAATCTCAGTTGAGAATAATGAAAAATAAAGAATAATGAAGTAAAAAATTAGATTTTTTTCTTACTGTAAAAATTTTCTTTATATTTTTACACACAGTTTTTACTATTGATTTCAATATAGATTTTAAAATCAGATACTGTTTATTACAATAATTGAATTTTGAAGGGTCCGATTCGTGTGATTTCGCCATCTTATCTTTTTTTAGTAGTTACTGCTAAATATTTCACGGTTTTTATTTTTTTTAAAAAATGTGATGAATTACAAAATGCAAAAAAGGAAACGATTAGTGTGTTATCTAAATAAGAATTAGAGTTATCTTTCAACAAAATGCGAGAATATCGCCCAAATTAGAATTAAAAAAATCACATATTCAATTAAAAAAATTCTTTTATTTGATCCAATTTTTTCTTCTTTCTTTCTTTCAAGTTAGCGCTTTAATTACTTTAAATTAGTAAATATCTCGCAGTAAGATATTAATATTAGAGAGGTATGTTGCAGAAAGCCAGAAAAAATTCTGCCACAGGATCAAGCAAACGTCACAGTATCTGCTACATTTTAGATTTTCAAATTCATGACTTTTCATGACTAATTCCAAGAATTTTTCATGACTTAACAAAGTTGCTATTTTCTCCAACAAAAATGCAACAATAAATTTTTTAAAAAAAGCATTATAATAACATTATTCGGAATAGGTATAACCAAACTATTATACTCTTCATCTTCATATTTATAGATTTTAAACTTAAACAGAGTAAGGAAAGAGTTGAAACAATAAAATAGCTGAAAAAAATACAAAAGCAAAAAATTTCTTTTTCTGCAGTATTATATTCTAAAGATACTTTTCTTGTTCATCAGAAAGGAAAGAAATACTCCCGATTTTTCTGTTCTCATTTCGGAATAAAAAAAATTCGCCAATAAATGGTTTGCTTCAACTAGAATTTTAAATTGATAAAATTTTAAAAAAATAATAATAAAAATTCTTAAATCACAGAAGAGAGTTTAAAGGATAATTCGTCCTAGAAATGATATTTTTTCGTTCATTTTTTGAAAGAACACCATAATTTTTAAAGAACATGATAAAATCATTTCATATTCAAATAAAATATGACTGAGTGGTGATTTTGTTAGAAATTCAGATATTTGGAACAGGATGAAATTGGGGGGAGGGAGATTCCATTTTAAAAATTAGATATTTCAGAGACCTAAATCCATGACTTTCCATGATTTTTTTTTAAAAAAATAGTTAAAATCATGACATTTCATGACAAATTTTGTTCAATACCGAAATTCATGACTTTCCGTGATTTTTCATGACCGTCCAGGTGCGCGGATATCTTGAAACGTTCTTCAAACTAATTTCAACACTATAAAAGCAATTTTTTCTTCAAAGCAAACTACAACCTTTTTTTCATGCTTCCCCAAGGAAGTCAGTGTAGGAAACTCGTCACATTGGAACATTCCTCTCTTACAATGTTTTAGCAAACTACCAAAATTAAACTTACACAATCAAGAAAGAACAAACATCTTATTTACCTTCATAGTTAACTTGTCCGTCTCCATCTATGTCAGCTTCCCTGATCATTTCATCCACTTCTTCGTCTGTTAGTTTCTCACCTAGATTTGTCATCACATGACGCAGTTCAGCAGCACTAATGAAACCATTCCCGTCCTTGTCAAAGACACGGAAAGCTTCCCTGATTTCTTCTTCGCTGTCTGTGTCCTTCATCTTCCTGGCCATCATCGTGAGAAATTCAGGAAAATCTATTGTTCCATTTCCTAAAATGCAAAAAACCCTTATTGTAAACTCTTATCGCTGTTAACGCAAATAAAGTCAAATGAATAATAGTATGCATTTTATCAAAACATCGAGAAAAAAATTTAAGAAATTTCATTTAAAGGAAAACTTGTTTCATAAGAAAATAGCAATAACAAAATTATAAATTTCGTTAAGTTTCCACTCGTTAAGTTTTCATAAAATAAAAGTCTAACATATTTAAAGACTCAGGCTAAAATTGTGTATGTTCAGTTTACCGCTAAATATTCTAAGAATTTCCAGAGTTGATTTTATAATCATTGTTGAACAGCTTACCCAATTTTTAAGTTTATGACTGCTAGCATTCAACTATGTAGCTTATTAATTCTGAACAAAATTCAGAAAACAAGGGAACTCCTGGATCAAGTTTTGGGAGAAATCAGCGACAAAATAGTTGTCATTAGNCTCGTCTAGTATCTATAGAAAACCAGAAAGACTTTTAGTATGGGACATGTTTAGGTCCGACCTTACAGATAATGCAAAAAAAATTTTTTTTGAAAGAATGTAACACCGATGTGGCAGTTATTACGGGCAGATTGACACCATTAGTTCAGCCATTGGACTTCTGCTCTTAAAGCCAATTTAAAAAAACAGTGGAACACTTGGATGTTGGAGGGCGAGAAAACCTTTACGAAAGGAGGACATATGCGTCATGCAAGTTTGGAAACAGTGTGTGAATGGATATTAAAAGCATGGGATGAAATTAAGCCTGAGATGGTTAGAAAATCATTCAAAAAATGCAGCATTTCAAATAATCTGGACGGATCAGAAGATGACTGTTTATTTATGGATGAGGGTAACACAGATGATGAAGACGAAACAGATTGTGATGACGTGCCTGAAGAAATAACGGAAGACGAATATAATGAACTATTTATGTAATAACGAAAATCAATAAAGTATATAGGTATGTTACTTCTTTAAAATAAAAGTATTTTTCTATATTTAAATTTTTTTAGTCTATAATTTTTTATATTCGGCGTATACCACGCACCCGTAAATTCCAATGTTATTTTTTGCATTAAAAGTGCGCGTTATACGCCAGTATATACGGCACTTGGAGATTCTAACCCATGATTGTTTACCACTGAGGATATTTTACGTCAGCACTGTGAGCTGTGCAAGCCGGGTGCGGAATCAGCCATAAATGGCATTCAAACCCGGGTAATCTCATTGGGTGGTGAGCAATCTATACTCTGAGTCACCACAGTTCTTCAGAGTTCATTTTATTTAATAACCGTCGTTGAACAGCCGATCCAATTTTTGGGTTTGTGACTTCAAGTATGTAGCCATATAATTTTAAACCAAATGCAGAAGACAAGGGAACTCGTGGATCAAGTATTGGGAGAAGTTTACCTTTGATGAATCTAACCTGTATTTGCATTACATTGAGAAGGCAACGAGAACCTTCTGAAATAAGTTAGAGCCAGTGTTCCCAACAACCTATTTCTTTAAAAAAAAATTTGAAAAAGTACAACATGAGAATACTTTTACAAGTTCTTATAATTGTGTTAAAAGACGAAGAAACAAATAAAGGTTCGACTGATAAGAATAGTAAGTAGAAACTGTAAAGAATTTTAGCAGCAAGAACAAAAAACTTATAACATGAAAAATCTTTAAAAATTGACACTGGTGAAGTTATAAAAAAAATTGTCAATTTCATGGCTTAAATTTATATGCTTGAAAATTTAATTTTTTTTCATTTTTTATTATTTAAAAAAAAAGACTATTTTTTTCCACTTCAGCATTTCTTTACCACAAAATTAGCAGTGGTGCACAACCTATGTCCCACAAAGCTTTATTAGTTGACCTTTGAACAGATATAAATATTCATTTAAATATGAAAAGGCAGTTCAGCATTTATAAAAGTCATAATACTTTTCTAGTTTTTGTGCCTCAATATTTTTTGTGCATCCCTAAAATAAAAGAGTACAAATAGGAAAAAAATTACCATCTGCATCTACTTCATTAATCATATCTTGAAGCTCTGCTTCTGTTGGATTCTGTCCGAGGGATCTCATAACAGTTCCTAACTCTTTTGTTGTGATTGTTCCATCACCATCCTTATCAAACAGGGAAAAGGCTTCTTTGAATTCTGAAATTATATTACACATAAACAATCAGACACACCTCACAACAACATTACCTTAAAGTTAAGCTAGTCTAGACAAATTTCTGTTCAGTCCAACATTGGACTCTCAATAGCATACCTGAAAGTTAAGTCAGTCTAGACAAATTTCATAACTTCGCAAAATTAAGACTATATGGCAACTATAACTTAATCATACACGCTTGATAATGTGTTAAATGCTATAAAAAATACAGCTTAAAATACTGGGGGGGAATAAAATAAGGTTCGTTGTTTCTTGCATAGAAAAATAGCTATCTTTTGAGAATACTCTTGACAATTAAGAGAATTTGCATAGCGTATGTCTTGCCTTACGCACGTTTGTTTACAGTGCATCTAAACTGTATTGAAATAGTTCTCCCTAATGAAGAGTGACTTTACCTTTAACTTTTTGCTGCAGACTGTGGTTTTTCATCTAATATTTATTCCATACATAGAAAATGAGCACCACAATATATTTTGAAAAATTCGAACAATATAGTCAATGATCTTTCAAGTGTTCTACCATTTCCCAATATTCGGCAGTTCATTTTAACTTAATCTGTTGCATCCTGAGGTTTCCTGCCAAATCCACTCAAATCTGTTTCTTATCTCCTATGTGATATTTGTTTCCTTTGTCCCTATTGGTTAAAGCACTTTACATGTGTTTGTCTCTTTACTACTCTACTTTAATTTCACATTTAGACACTGAGGAAGGTTCTTGTTTACGGAACTGAATAAGTCAATTTAAGTTCTATCATCTGTGCTTTATTCATGTTTTTGTTTTAGTTCACATACACCTTTTCCTCTGTTGGACACTAAATAAATGCCTATACGGTCCTATTTTGACGCCACATTTTTATTTATGGTGTAAAATCTAATTATTTTACTTATGAAGTAAAATAGATCTATCTATTTCAGCAAATTTTGAAAAAACTCAGGTATTTATAAGTGGACCAACCCGAAAAAAGCTGGGCAGGCTTTTTCGGGCTGGACACACTTTGGTATATATTTCTTTAAAACAAAAAATCACTACACAAACAAATATTACAATAGAATGCATAAAGCACTTTTAATACCTGCTATTTGTTCTTCTGTCAACTGATCTGCCTGAAATATACAAAAAGCACCATTTAAAAATAACAGTTCAATTAAATATTAAAAAAGTTTATTAGGGAAACTGTACTGTCCCTCACTCAGTTATAATTAAACAATATGTATTTATTTAAATAATTGCAACTCAATTTTTAAAAAAAAAATGCTCTAAACTGTGGTTTGAATCACATTAGTTTAAACCAGTCAATCCTGGTTACCAATGTTTCGATTATACAGGGTTATTCATAATTCCCTCTGGGGTTTCGAAGCGTTATAGTAAAAAAACAAAGACGAATATGGCAAAAAAGAACATTTGAAATTATTCCAAAAGTTCTCATTTAAGCAGTTGCCGGTAGATGGCAGTAACATGTACCACTGAAGCCAGTTGTAGTAAACATAAGGTTGTAGTAAACAGAGGGAATTATGAATAACCCTGAACTTAAATGTTCATTATTGAGTTTGTTTTCAATTGAATAATAAGTACTCTTTAAAGGATGTTTTTTACTCAATATATTTCCAATTTACTTTAATAAATAACTTCCTGTGCTTCAAAAATTTACAAATAGAAAATAACAGTTGACATATTTCAAGTACTCAAAAATAGGGGTCCCGTTTTCGAAGCTTGTAAATGAGAAGAAAAATAACTTATTTGGAATATAAAACTTAAAACTGCCAACGAAAAATGTAAAATAAAGGTGAGAAACAAAATTAGAAAAACCTCAGTAGCAGAGAGAGAGAAAGAAAAATTAAAATCAGGAAAAGTAATTCAATAATTTTACTAGTACTGAGGTAAATCAGGAAAAAATGCATCTCTACATGCTACAGCGAGGTTGTGAGGAGATAATGATGCTAACAAAGAAATCAGTAGTATTCATAAGAATAAAATAAGATTCCAGAACATCAAGGTGAGCTGACGTAACTGGGATAGAAATAAGTTTGGCAGAGTCGAAACTGAATGTATGACCAAGATCCCAACAATTTGCAGCAATCGAAGCTTTGGGGATATTTCCGTATCGTGATCTGTCGCACCAACCACAATCGCCAAGGTGCCAGATAGATTTTTGTTGATTGAAGAAAACAAAAAACATTTCATAACATTTTTCATTCAATATGTCAACTATTTGTTAAAAATTGAATAAACATACATGCAAAGCAAATCACAATCCTAAAACATTCAATTTTTAGGTAAATTGAATAAAAACTTAAGTTATGGGGCCTTCCTTTGCTTCATTAATGAAGAATTGAACTTTATGGAGGTATTTAAATTTTTCACCTTATTCTACATATATAACAAGAAAATTGACTAGAGCCTAAAATAGCTATAAACTCCCTCTCCAATGGTAAGATGAAATATCGTTGTCCTTTTTATTGATTTTCTGATTCTGTTCATTAATTGATTCGATTCAGTTTTTTAATTTTTAATTGTTAGCCGATCAGAAGCCTGTATTTTTTGTAAACAAATTGCACTTTGAGATAGATAAAAACACAGGCTTTTAATTGGCCAAATGTGCCCATCGTAATTGAGAAAATTTAGCTGAATTCGGCAATAGAAAGCCATGGATGTACTAAATACAGATACGATGTACTAAATATCATACGATAGATTAAAGAAGCTAGCATAAAATTGACAGATTTTATACTGTACTGATATTTCGTTTAAAAAAAAGTTCATTAAAGGATACCTAAAATAAACTTTCAAATCAATTTGGGGCTCTGGGCAACTGCCCCGTACGCCTTTGTCAGGCTCTGGTTATGCTACTACATTCAACAAAACACTACTCTTTACTCAATTTTACACCTTTTTAAGGAGGAGCTTTCGAATTTTTGTAAAAAAGGAAGAGGTGCATGAAAGAGCAGCATCACCAACTTTAGGCAATAAAGTTATTGTTGCCTCCCATTATATAGATAGTTCAAAATACAGTCAAGGAACCGAAATTTTGGTTCATTACAACTGGGAATTCACTATAACCGTTCCGCAAACAATTTTAACTAATAGTTTCAAACTCCCCCCTTTTATTCACATTATTTAAATAAATGACCGATGAAATTAAATACAAAAATGACGAAAAAATAATACGTATTAACAAAGAATGTGTTAACTTTTAATTTTTATAACTCTTCGCCTTGCAGACGAAAAAAAGATAGTAATCTTTAGAGCTGATGAGCAATCCTCAACATCAGATATGGAAACACTTTTCCTGAATTTATGTTATTCTACTTTTTAAACCCAGCCATTCGAGCACAAAAAAATTGTCTCACCAAATCGCTTAGCAAATTCATCGTCCTTGATTCAGAGCATTTATCTAGATGGTTTTAAAAATCTAAATGTATTTATTTTGGAGTAAAAATTTCAAAATTATTGCAAAGAAAAAAAATCAGTCGAAGACAGAAAAAAGTTCTTAATATCCAACTTCCTCCCTTTTTTTGGCTCACTATATCCACAATAAATAACATACGTGTGTAGCAAGGCAAGGGAGCAAACATTTCATTCACTATATCCGGGAGTTCACAATAAAGTGATCACTATAGCGGGTTTAACTGTATATTAAAATTTTGAGTCTCATCGAGCATTTCCCCCAATGATAATCTATTTCAAGACTGCTGTAGTCAGACGTTTTAACTATCTCAAAACTACTTAGCTCAACTTTTTTTATAGCAGGGAAATAAAGATTTATGAATAAAATTAAAAATGTGTAATAATCGAATTCAAGTTCCGGTTAGAAAAAAAGTACCGGAACATCGTTCTGGCCCTACTATACACCCCATGCACAGGAACCAAACGACTATTAGTATAAACATAAAAATTACAAACTATAACAAGATAATGAAAATAATTTTTATACCATAAAATGAAGCTATTATTTTATAAAAAAAGATTCTATTACAATTCCTCACTAGCATCAATTCACGAGAATTTAAAAAGAAATCACACGTCATAAAAAAAAGCGGTGCATACACAGCTTAAATTTTATAAATAAAATATTACATAGACAAGATTTCATACACTACTTCAAAACAATAACTTACCATCTTTTCGCTATTTTGTAGGCTACAATACTTTTTAAATGTAAAATAATATACACTATAATAATTGCAGTACCAAAGCCCAAGTTGGAATGGACAACCGCTTTTAATTCGCTCTGCCGAAAGATTTGTTGGAATGATAAAATTATTTCTACTTGGGACTGCTACTAAGCTGCTCTCGCAAAATTGTATACATCCGCGGTTCGAAATTAAAATAAATACTCTTAATAATGAAATTAAATCGAAAGGAATTTATATATTAGATTTTACGAAACAAAACATCCACCAAAAGAGGTAAAAAGAGACGATTTGTAAAGGGTTAGAGGGGACTATTTTAACTTAGCGCATGCGAAATTCTTCGTCGTATTGCTTCACGTGCGGATAAAGAAGCGCGGTTTCGTTCCATGCTTCTTTATTGGTCTGTAACTACCTGCAATGCAGGGGGAGAATGTACCGCTCTTCTCAAAGCATGCTCTGGCGCGAAATGTGATGCGTCTTTTTAGCGCGAGCTCTTATGGCAGTTGTTTAACGAAATAGAACAGAGGATTGAGATTCTTTGCTGCTATTGATCTACTAATACACCCTCAAAAATCTCATTTTACTTTTTCTAAATACTGAAGTGCAATTCAAAAATTTCTTTAATGATTTTTAATATCGAATTTATTCCAAGTGATTAATAAAATTTTTTAATTTCTTCAAATTAATTTTTTTTCCCTTCATTAAGGGTGTTTTTAGGGGTTTATTTCTTGTAGACGTTTGTGATTTTCTTTCTTTCATTTTTTTCACCCTTTTTTGTTTTTTTTTATTATAAAAGTCAACTGTGATTTTAAAACTACAGTCCCTGGCCAAATTATTAGAAAATTCTATGTAAAAGTATAATTATCAGCTGATTTATTATAATTATCAGCATTATTGTTTTTATGCGCCTGAAACAGGCCTATACTTGTTTATGTTCGTGTATCAATTGGGGGGTTAACATTGTAATGCAATAAGTAAAAAATAAATACAAATAGGAAGTCTATGAAAAATCTCCAGAATATAAACGCATTGCATGTACGTTTAAATATAAAAGTATTGCCTATAAACTCGTGCAAAACATGTCATTATCATTTAGTAATCTATCAATAAGTAGTAATTCAGTATAATTTAATAGTAATAAAATTTAGTTGAATCTTCTAGTATCATTTAGTAATAATTAAAACAGGACAGTGCGTCGAATAATTTGGTCTGATTATTATAATAAACTGTTATAATAAATATTCTGTATTTATGTAATGTATCGTAAAATTTATACAATAGTCGAATTTATATTATATATCACCTATTTTAACCAATTGATACACTAACGTAAACCAGTGCAAATCTCGTAAAAACAATAAAGCTGTAATAGTATAACCTGATAATTTAGATTTTACATAGACATAGGGGACAGTAAACAGTTGATTCTTATTTAATCCATCCTAATAAAATAGAAATACTGATAGTACATCAGTATGGTATGGCACAGTATGGATTTTTGATAGTACATCAGTATTTCACAACCCTACAACAGAAAGAATTTAGCAAATATTTTTCGCTGTTATGATAAAATTAGCTTTACGAATCAAATTCAAAGATTTCCTTTAATTCAACTCAGAAGTAAGAATACTCAGGGTTGACCCGTGCCGATTTTTAAGTGAAAGCAAAAATATTCTACCTCCTTATATAATACCCCCTTACATTAAGGATAATAATAATAATAAATATGCACGGAGAAAAATAAATTTTATTCATAATTTTAAAAATAAGTCAAAAGTCTACAAATTTTATTTATTTTTATATAAAAATGAGAGCAAACTACTTATACAATGTACTTTTATTTAAATCCTACTCTAAGCAATTTCAGATGCGCAATAAAAAAATATTACATATTTTTTTTAATTACATTTTTATTTTATTTACATTATTTATTTATATTTATCTTCTCATTTATGCCTGGTATTCGCAAATGACACTTTATTTAGTTACGTCGCACTATAACAGCACAATGAGCTATTGGCGACATCCCTGAGGATGATCCGAAGACATGCCTTCGCAATTCTGATCCTTTACATGGGGATGGCTCCCCTGCTTTGGTAGTCCCACGACCTGCGCGCGAACTTGAACACGTTGCGGTAGAACAGTTTAACGAGGACAGATACCGCGCATCCTCGGCCCCTACGCAGGCTGATCAAAGTGGTTACACACCCGCTTACTGACCGCTGCCTGTGATGCTTGACTACTGTTTTCTACCGGGAATCGTGTCTTTACGATCATTCTACTGCTGGACTATTTGCAAATGAAAAGAAAGCATTGTTTGCATACAATTATTTATAAATCTTACTTTTTTTATACTTTGAAATTAAAAGATTGATGATGGAAAAAAAATGGACAATATAAAGCAAGAATCTCTAATTTAGGATGCCTGTACTATACACAGTATTTTTTAAAAAATAAAACGTGCTAATCAAACACATAACACAGAGAGAATCATTTCTGACAAAGTTTAACAAATCTGAAGAGAATCGAAACAAAATATTAATACAGACTTATTACTTACGAAAACATTATTATAAAAAATATATAAATTGCTTTGTAACAACTTTTGTTTTGATGAAATGCTTTGACATCGTGAAAAGCGAAATTTAACTTTCGATTTCTTTGTAAACAAAAAATATCGATCACCTGACAATTTAAAAATTCTCCAAGATCGGTAAAAAGAGATTCATGAAATAAGTGATCTCGGTGTGAATTTATTGAAGTTTAGATTAAAGTATACCTTTTAAAGTATGTGTGTGTAAACGCTCGATTTGGTATTCATTTGAATTACACAATTCAGAATTTTCAACATAGTGTAAAAAGAATTAAAGTGTGTGAATACATAATTAGGCCTTTGCTCAATAATTCAAATGAAAAAGTTAACATTACTATACCAATTGCAACGTTAAGGGAAGAATTAATTTAAAAATAACTTCTCTTGTTTTATTTGAATAAGTTTTTTCTCTCCAGAAAGCATGTAAAAGTATGTTACGGCAACCTAGTGTCTGAATTTTATTTTTATTGTCTCGAAACTGTTTGCACTAAAAACCTTTTTTCCAAAATAAAGCAAAACTATTGCAGTTTCAAATCTTTAACATCACGCTGGCTGATCACGTAATCTCTTTGATCAGCCTGCGTAGGAACCTAGGGTGCACGGTATCATCCTCGTTAAACTGTTCCACAGTAAAGACATCGACTTCGCGTGCAGGTCGTCAGTCTACCGAAGCGGGGGTGCCATCTCCTCTGCATAGGATCAAATTTGTGATGGCATGTCTTCGGATCATCCTCAAGGATGTTTCCCAGACCGTCGCCAATAACCCATTGTGCAGCTCTAGTGCGACGTAAATGAACTACAACAACAGCACCATTGGGGGACAAACTAATACTTACTCTGGTTTTATTTGAATAAGTTTGTTGAAAGTGTCTACAAAATCTTGAAAAAAGGAAATAACTATTATTATATTAAAAAAAAGTCTATAAATGTGATATTTAATGTTATGGTTAACAAAAATTAAACTGATTTTTCACACTAGTCGAAGGTAAAACTGGTTTCTCGACAAAAACGCTTCTGTCAAAAACTAAATTTTGAAGTTCCAATTAAGCAATACTTTAAGTGAGATTTAGGTTATAAGTTTAATAAAATTTTCTGAACTACTAAAGTTGAGAGCCTTTAAAGCATTTTTAATCGAAATTTAAATTCAAAATAATTTATTTTGCCCTTTGACTAACTTCAACTGGATACTTATCCGCATTTGAAGTATTAAATTTGTGAATATTTTGTAAACATGTTTATAATATTCTTTTACATAATACGTAAATTTAGTATATATTTGACAATATATATTATGAAAATATCGCAGTACCAAACAGGAATACATAAAAATTTATCAATATATAAAAATCTAACAGCCGAATCACCCTTTCTAATTTACTGTATTTTTAATTATTTGTATAAAAACTTTTGAGACACATTTATATTAAAAACTATTTACCGATTAATCTACAAAGCTTGAAATTGAATAAGTGAATTACTCACTTTACGTTAGTGAGTCAATAATTTAAATCATTCAAATGAATTGTTTTTTTTTTTTTTTTTTTTGCAAACCATTTAATTTAGAAACATAATTTATTATTTTCATGTAAATTAATACGCAACTCAATATGTATATTGCAGGGATAGTAGTTATCGACAATGTCAACCTGCATCTATGAAAAGGTACCCCATCATAGAATTGAGTTAACATGTCTTGTATATATACTAGTGACTTGGAATTGTATTTTTGTAGTGGTAGGCACGCTACAGTACTCCCCCACCAGAATTATATCTGTGATGGAATTCGATGAACGGATACCACTAGTTAACTCATTGCTGTTTTATGAAAAGTCAGGAGAGCTGTATTAAGATCACTGTACTTTTGCTGATCGAGAAAGATGTATTAAGATCACCGTACTTTTGCCGATCGTGAGAGCTGTATTAAATTCAGTTTCGTGATTGCTCCTGTGTTGCCATTAGCATAGAATTGAGTTGGAATGCTGGAAATATGTGTCATCTCGGTCTTAAGGGCGAAGCGCTTTTTACCGATTCATCGAAACTATGATGACATATAACTAAATTGAGTTAACATGTCTAATATACTAGTGAATAGAAATTGTTATTTTGTAGTGGTAGACACACTACATATATCAATAGCAATTTTCATAAGCAAAAATATACATAAATAAACTGATCTACACTTAGAAATTTAAATCACTTTGTGAAATGAAAAACTTAAACTAAACGAAAATATTTTAAGTATGGGTTTAGGCTAAAATTAATCAGTATTGCCAAAGTAAAAAGAGAATGTAGACGAATTGTTTAGAGTTTAAATTCATAAGATGTTTAAACGCTAGGTAAAAAGGATTTTGAATTTTGAAAATTGCTCCTGGATTCTTGCATCTAAGTTTTAAATATAATACGAATAAGAAATTTCTAGATGCAACTAAAACGTCTTATTTTTATACTTCTTAAAGATGAAACTTTATAAATCTATAATTTTCAGAGTATCTTTAAACTTTTTCGAGCAACAGAAATACAATATGCGCTCACTGTTAAAACTGATTTTTAAAAATTTGAAATTAATACTTTCTACAAGCAGACTTAAAAGGACAAAATGTCAAAGAAAATAATTTTGTAAATAGATTGTAAATGATTGCGTAGAAAAAATGATTAATGATTAGAAAAATGATTACTTAGAAAAAATGATTACTTAAAAATTATAGCGTTCACAAAAATGATTACTCAAAAAATGATTACGCAAAAAGTGATTACGTAAAAAATTGATTACAAAATGATTGCTTAAAAAATGAATGCTTAGAATTAATAATTTTGTAAATAGAAAATGATTGCAAAATGATTGC